CCAGTCGGAGCGGGGCGCCTTTGGGTTGGTTGGGTGGGTTTTGTAGTGAGGACATTGGCCCTTAGTTGTAAAGGTGTGGGAAGGAGTGAAACTGCCGGAGACGCCAGGTAAAGTTCAGCCCGTGAGTCTCCATCGGAGAAATGGAGGGCTGGTTTGTACGTGGTGGGGTTTTTTAATACTAAAATACTGTCCCTGTCATTGAGAAGGTCTTATTCTGAAAGTGTCAGAACGTTTCAGTTTGATGTTTCAAAACAAACTTTTTCAGATTTTCATCCTGAAGTAGACTTTTTTAATTTAAAAATGACTGGAGGTGGGCAGGGGGGTTGAGATTTAAGTGGCTCTCTAAAGAAAGTGAGGTTTTGTTTTGCCTTCTTCAGACATGCTCCATCAAGTTCCTCACGTTTCTGGACTCCATTTGTTTGAAAGGCCCACCCAAATTTTTCTCCAGCTTACCTTAATTAGAAACTTGTTTGTTTTACTTTGTTGCATAGCGCTGGATGTGTGATCTCTTGCAGTCCTGGAAGAGCTGGGATTTATGAGAGGATTACAGAATAGATCATGAACCGTGATTTAATTCTGCAAAGCCTTATACGTATACCTAGCTGTGGACACAGCAAGTAGTTCCATTGACCGTGATGGGGCTCTTCTGTGTCTGAAGCTCACAAGTGAAGGTCTTAGCAGGCCATGGTCCATTTCAGGGACCATAGAGAAGTTACAGCTGTGTGGTAATTGGAACAAGAAGGAGAAGGCAATGAAAGGACGACATGCTGTTTAAAAAAGAGCAACAGACAGTCTGACAGTCAGGAAGAATTTGTTATCAACAACCATATAGTTGCAGCTGGGGATCAGGGGTACTTCTGACAATCCCTTATTTTTCGGAAGCAACTCTTCTCTTAGTAATGGGTGCATTGTGTATGTTCTCTAAAAGCTTTTTCTTCTTATAATAGCTTTTGTTACAAAGCAATTTGCCTTGCATCACATTATTATTCAGTTCCATTTTTAAGTATGTGTCATTTTACACATATGTAAGCTACTGTGTCTTATAACAAGCTTTTTTTTTCTCCAATCTTAGATAATACATGGCTTCGCAAGAGGAAAAACAAGTTCAGCCCTTTGCAGACATCTTCGATGAAGATGAAGCTGAAAAATCCTTTCTGTTGTCCAAGCCCACTTGCTTAATTATCCTTGGAAAGCCAGTAAGATGTCTGATAGAAATTTTTTCTTCAGATATTCTGCTAACAATTTTACTCTTCCTTTCAAAACATTAGTTTAGGGATGCTGCCAAAAAGATCAGAGACCTACTTTTTAATCTTTTCCACTTTGCGAATCTTGCAGAGTGTGGTAAAGATTCTTATATTTAATGAGGCCAATTTTTGGCCTGAGTGACCAGGTAATTACAATTAAAAATGTTATTAAAAGTTATTACTGTACTTAAAAGTCACATGTTGCTCAGAAAGTTTCTTCTCTTTTCACATTGGCAACTGGATGGTTTTTATGTTATTTCAGTATTCTAACTTTTAAAACTTGACAGATTAAAGACATAAATAGGCATAAAAGAACCTTCAGGTTAATGTACTGACCTACAGGCATGCAGTGAGATATTAAATATTTTACCTTTAGTATTAAAACTTTGACATAATTATATGTCATATATTTGGGAATAACTGAAATCCACCAAGGTGTCTTGATAAGGAGATTTGTAATATATTTTAACTAAAATTCAACGCCTCTCTTTTTCTCAAATAATTTGTGGCCTGCTGTACTTAGGAAAATCTAGTGTTTTGTAATCCTAGACTTCTCAGATTTCCTTTTCTCAAATGTAGGAGACTCTACAGGTGGTTTTACATTAGTGCCTTAGTTTGCTGAAGGGGGGGGGGGCGTTGGTGCAAGTTTGCCTTCTCTCTGTGCTGATTCTGGTATGCACTTAAACACACCACTAGTGCCCTGAAAGCTGCTTTCCTCTGGAACGTTTCTGTTGCCCATGGAAGGTGCCTTCAGACCACCCCACTTCCAGTGTGAACAGAAGGTCCTCTAGCAGCTTACACTCTGCGTTTGTGTGTGATTCCGTTAGGTACCATAACAGAGCCTGAAATGACCATACAGAAATCCGCTTTGTGCTGCCTAGCAGGCAGAGGGATAAATGGTGTGCACCCAGAACTGGCAGTCAACCCAAACTTTAATGCCAGTTAACCCACCAAATCAAGCCCCAGTTCCTCTCTGCCCCACACCACGTACTAAGGTAGAGCCATCCCATGTGGTGCAGTATGCCAGCGCATAGTCACATGACAGTGGCAGATTATATAATGGGAAATGGCCATAGTCCTAAGATGCGGCTACGTTTCCTTTCTTCAAAGACTTTCAGTAGCCTGGAAGGCTCCCAGTCGCCAGTGTTTGCACAGGTCTGCATCCTTTCTTACTCCTTGGCTCCAGTTGCTGAGTAATGCTTGACTGCAAATCTTTATGTCTGACCAAACTGAGATAGGAGGCAGGGTGGTGTTCTGCAAGTGGGTGAGATGCAAACATCACAGTGAGACTGTATAAGGTGGTAGCCAACAGGTGTGCCTTATGGTCACCATGAGACTTGAAAGAGTGGATTCAGCTCAGTAGAAAACTACAGTGGACTGGCTCGCCCAGTTTTAAACAAACATCAGATTTCTAACGTTACATGAAGAAGGGAACTTTACATTTTTATAGACCAAACCAGCATAAAATAGTCATTGAAAGACAATGCAAAAAAGGTATAATGAATACATATTTTCATCTGAAATCATTGCCTTCAGTAGATGCTTGATATTAATACAAATTTTAACAAAGGGTTGAAATTGCACAGGCCTGGCCAAGAGGGCAGGGAATTAAATATTCTATTTTTATTATAATATCTTTTACTTATATGGTGGATGTGTAGAGCATCTATCTTATTTAAGATATATCTTTTAAGTTAAAAACATAGTGCCATTAAAGCAAAATCAAATATACATATTCTCATCACACCTGCAAGATGTAAGGTATGAGTAGGCTGGAGTGTTTGCTGATATGCTGTTAACTGGGAATGTGATTTATTTGTGGGGTTTTACTATTTTTTAATTACAAAATTTATCTAGGGCAAACACACTGTCAAAAAAAGGTCTTCTTGTATGCCCTTGAAAAAAGGGCATAATCCTAAGGGTTGGAAGATGGTGAGTTCTGCAGAATCCCATTCAGGTAGCGGTACTTTTAGAGGCCTTATTACTCTTGGTTATGTTGGTTCCTCAGGATGCATGTAAGTGATAAAGTAAACATTTTGTCAGTATCTAAACCAGATTTGTGGACTAACAAGGGCAGTTTTTACGCATTTGTGGTTTTAGTCAAAGAATACTATCCTCGTGTATCTTACTCAGAAATGGCTCAACGGGTTTGCGTCATAATTTGCTTTGAGACTGAAGATAATAAATTTCAGTCCTAAAGAGTTTCTCATAGAAATGTATGGGCAAATCATAGCTGAGTTTTAGATAGAGTTACTCAGAATCAAAGTCAGTATACTTTGGAGATAATTCACTGCAAAGGGCAGTAACAGTATATTAGCAATGCTAGGCAGTATAAAATAGAGGATGGTATTAAAGAGTGTTTGTCTTTGCCTAGTGCGTAACTCAGAGTCCCTAATCCTGATGGTAGCTTTTAATTGTTTTTATCATATGAAAATATATTCTTTATTGTGTAATATGTTTGTGGTTTTTTTTTTCCTTCTGCTTGTTTTTCTTTTAAATGTGTATTTTTCATTTTAAGGGTTCTGGAAAGAAAACATTAGCTAGAAAACTAGCACAAACATGGAAATGCATTTTCATAGAAGGTAAACATACATTACATTTGGAACATTGCATTGGCTTCATAATATCTTTTGGTTTAGAATATCCTCTCTGTTCCCTGTAATTCAAAATGGCATGTTTCTGATTGCAGTAAAGACTACCGATAAGGACCAAGTAACCATTTTGCCAGAAATGCAGTTGCTGAGAAATGACCTTTTAGTTATAGAGACTGTTGGGTTTTTTTTTTCAGAAGGGGATATATGTAACACATAATAATCAAATTCTATTCCCAATCCCGCAAGGTGATTCAAGTGACCGTTCTTGTTCACACGGAGGCAACTCATTCAACTCCAGAGAGCGCAGAGATTTTCCAATACAGACCATGAAAAAATAGGAGGATCTTTCCTTTCTGTTTGTGCAGTGCCTAATACAAGGGAGGATGTACTCCAGGAAACAGAAGCATAGCTTTTGTATCAGTATAAGTAATAATGGAAGGAATGGGAGCTGGCACTTTCAAATTTCTAAAACAGGAATATCTGATGGCTTATTTCAGAAGGTATAGTTAATTTTTCCCACCATGCACTTACCAGAATACAAGATATCATTTCATTTCTAGGCCATCCAGCTCCATTTCTGACAGTCCCTTTCATCAAAGATTTTTGAAGATCTGTGGAGTAAAACCTGTAGCTTATAACATTATCTTATTCCCTGTCAACACATCACTAGAGATTTTTCTTTCTGTTTTGAGGCATCTTGGCAAGAAAGTAGGTTCCTACAAAAAATAATTAAGTCTCTGGCAGTTTTCTTTTGTATTAATTTTGTCAGCAGTAACTGAAAAAATAGGTAAAAATCTGTAATTTTTTTAAAGTCCTGGTAGTATTTTTGTATCTGTGACATTATAATTCACAAATCTTGATTCATTCACTTAAGTTTTATGAAAAAAGAAAACTTTTCTACCAAATTTGTCCTACCAATTTGAAGGCTAATATAATATTTTTAAGTAGAAGAAAAGAAAGCATATAATAACCTTAACTATGAAGCAATTTCTCGAGTGCCTCTTTGGGGACACCAAGTTATAAATCTGATTTATGGTATATATGTGTACAGTTGTTCTGATTACGAACTAACTCTTTATATTTTCATTACATTTTTTCTATTAAATGTGTCCCCTGGTATTTTTTATTGTTCTAATAAAAGCCCTCTAGTGGATGGTGTAACACTTCATATTCCTGTGAATATGTAGGGTTATATATCAGATGAAGTATCTTTTATCTTATGCTGAAGCTTTGGAATTATAGTATGGTAACATTCAGTTTTAAAAATTACTTTTTTGACTTATATAAATATAGAAATTTTAATTCATAGGATTGCCTAACAAAAAATTAATACCTGGTCCAAAACATAGATCAGACGAAAATTGGAAGGGACCTTAGGTATGTACTTAAGCCAATCCATGCTGTTTGAATGTATTTAAACCATTACTGAAAATGTCTATCAAATTTCTTTTTAAAAATCTGTAGGCAGTCTCTCTGTAACACAGTCTTTGCCATTAGAAAGTTTTTCTTAATAACTGATGTAAATCTCACTTATTGCATTTTTATGCCTTATTTCCAGTAGATTCAGAGAATTATTATTTTCTTCTTTTGCTCATGATATTTCTTTTAATATTCTTTTGTCTAGTCTACCCACACATGTGTACACACACACACTCCTTCAACTTTTGCTAATAGTTTTTTTTCATTTTCCACATCAAAAAAGAAAGAAACAAAGAAATTAAACATACTTAAACATGAATAATTTAGCTCAGAAAGGACCTCCAGAGGTCATTGAGTCCAACATTCCACTCAAAGCAGAGTCAACTAGAGAAGGTTGCTCGGGGCTGTGTCCAGTTGAGTCCAGAATTACCACCAAGGACAGAGACTCCACCACCTCTCTGGGCAACACTTTCCAATGTTTGACCACCTTCGTGATGGAAAAATGGCTTCCTAATTACCCCATTGGAAGTTCTCATGTTCCTAGTTGTGTTTGTTGGTTCCTGTCCTATCTGCACTCTGTGAAGACAGTGGTTCTGTCTTTGTGCCTTCCCAGTAAGTAGTTCTAGACAGCAGTAAGAGCTGTCCTGTTTTCTCCAGGCTGAACAAGGCCAGTTCTTTTGACCTCTCCTAGTACATTCAACACTTCCAATCATCTTGGTGCCCTCCACTGGACTCACTCCAGTGTATCAATATCTGTCCTGTGCTGTGTTATTTATTTAAAAAAATAATCCAAGATAGAGAATTATTAAATAGGAAAGGTGTTCACAGCCTTTTAATTTGATAGAATGCTTTCTATCCATTTATCCAATGAATAGGTCAATACTCATAAAACAGGGCCAGGGTACATGTACAGTGCTGATTTTCAGTTGTCTGTATTGTTTGTTAGTTCATTCCTTGTCTCAGTTTTAGCCTATGGCAAATACTGCTCTCCCGAACTCTCATTCATAGTATGAAGGATAGTATGCACAACAGTCATCATTGTAGGCACAGTTTGAAAACAGCCAATATGTTTTGAGAAGAAAGATTTTAGCTGTGTAGGGCTGAGCCACCTGGCTTCAGGACCTTTCCCTGGCCTGTTTTATTAGTAAATAAATGTAGCCTTAAGAGTCACTTTTGAAAACTTCTGATAAGTGTCTGTTTATTTCAATGGTACAGAAGTGTGAAAGACTTACAGGATCATTCTGCTATGATGTCACTGTCCACAGAGACAAAGGGCAGGTCTTTTAATTTGATGGGTGTCAAATTTAGTATTTATTTGATTTTAGATAATTGGACTATATAAGGAGTAGGGTTTTAAGGGCTTTTTTAAAGCCGATGGGTTTGTGTGTCTAAACAGTTCTTTTTCTAAAACTTGCTTTTAAAATTTGGGAAGCGTTAGAGCTCAAATACTCATCCCTGGATTACACAGTAGTAATGCTGATTTGATGTAAATCAGTAGTTAAAATAATCCTGCAAGGCTACTGTTGTGCATTTGTCTGTAGTATCTATATGGTTAAATTGGTGGGAAAAACATCTACCTAGACATTGCCAGAAGGCACCAAGTTCTGGATGGACAAAATATAATAATGGCCCTAAATATAATGGCTGTTCATTCAAAAATAGTCTGGTTGCTTGGAGCACACACACCTACTCCTCTGTGTGTGTGTGTGTGTGTATGTATCCTCATGTACATGTCTGTATATAAAATAGTTTTTATCAATTGCTTTAATTTTATTCTGTCTGATGTGCTTCCTCAGCTTTGGAACTAATTCAAATGAATATTCATGAAGAAACAGAATATGGGCTTAAGGTAAAAGTCTAATGTTCTAGTAAGTTTTGTTACATTCTGAACAAATACGTATTGTATAAGATGTATGTTTTGTATTTTATCTTAGTGTCAAGAATTGCTTTTCAAAGGTCAAAGTATTCCTGAAGAACTGGTTACAGAAATGATTCTGAAAAAGATTGAGTCACCAGAAGTTGCTCATTTTGGTAAGTATATTTATAGCCTAAACTTAGAATGAGCTAGCTATAATTTTGACACACTTTGCATCCATTACTGCTCAAATATAGTTAAGGAGGTAATCTTAAAGGTACAGGAGCAGGCTGTCCCAATGTCCTGTAAGATGAGCCGACAGGGAAGAAGACCGGCCTGGTTGAACGGAGAGCTTTGGCTGGAATTCAGGAATAAGAGCAAAGTTTACCAGCTTTGGAAGAAGGGACAGGCAACCCGTGAAGAGTACAAAGATGTTGTCAGGGCATGCAGAGAAAAAATTAGAAAAGGAAAAGCCCAGCTAGAACTCACTCTGACCATAGTCATAAAAGACAACAAAAAATGTTTTTACAAATACGTTATAAAAAATTTAGTGCCAGCTCCTGCACTTCAGTCACAACAACCCCATGCAACGCTGCAGGCTTAGGGATGAGTGGCTGGTGAGCTGCCCAGCAGAAAGAGACCTGGGGGTGTTGGTCGACAGCTGGCTGAACATGAGCCAGCAGTGTGCCCAGGCGGCCAAAAAGGCCAACGGCATCTTGGTTTGTATCAGAAACAGTGTGGAAGCAGGACTAGGAAAGTGATCATCCCTTTGTACTCTGCACTGGTGAGGCCGCACCTTGAATACTGTGTTTGGTTTTGGGCCCCTCACTACAAGAAGGACATTGAGCTGCTGGAGCATGTCCAGAGAAGAGCGACAAAGCTGGTGAAGGGTCTGGAGAACAGTTCTTATGAGGAGCGTCTGAGGGAGCTGGGGTTGTTCAACCTGGAGAAAAGGAGGCCGAGGGGAGACCTTATTGCCCTCTACAACTACCTGAAAGGAGGTTGTAGCAAGGTGGAGGTCGGTCTCTTCTCCCTGGTATCCAGCGATAGGACAAGAGGAAACGGTCTCAAGTTGTGCCAGGGGAGGTTCAGGTTGGATATTAGGAAGAATTTCTTCACTGTAAGAGTCGTTAGGGATTGGAATGGGCTCCCCAGGGAGGTGGTGGAGTCGCCATCCCTGGAGTTGTTCAAAAAATGCTTCGATGTGGTGCTTCGAGTCATGGTTTAGTGGGTTTAGTAGGCATGGTGACGTTGGGTAGAAGGTTGGACTTGATGATCTTTGAGGTCTCTTCCAACCATAACGATTCTATGATTCTATGATTTTGTATTAGACAGTAGCAGTTTTTCTTGTGCTCCTCGGGTTGTGGAATATCCATAAACTGAGAGTGTATTTAGGGATTACTTTACCAATATGGGAGATCAGAAAGTGTCATACCAGTCCTATGTTGTGTTAATTTTGAGAAAATGAATTTGCCCCAGATTTTAAGTGTTGCTGTGACTCTCATTTGACAATATTATCTGGTTAGAAAAGTTTCAGGATTTAAAATGCAGATTTTTTTTTCTTCAATAGTTCTATAACAACAACAACAAAAACTCAGCAGCAAAAATATTTTAAACATTTAAAATAAATTCAATGAGAAAGAAGGAAAACTGATTATTGAAAATTCAAAGTATTACGGTCGTCTTTTTTTTTTTCTTCTTACAACATTGTTTATTCCTTTGCATTTTGTCACTGAGAGTAAGTTAGATGAGAATAGTATTGGTAGTGGTAATAATTCTTCTTTTTGAGGAAAGATTATGTTAATTGAGGCTGTTAAGACTAGTGCTGCAGATCTTGCTAGAGTCTGAACCTGCTTTCCTGAAGAGAAAACAAATATACTGCTAAGTGGAAAGAAAGTAAAAGAAAAGGTAGTTTCTTTTTCTGGTGCTGACTTTTATTTGAAATTTCCATTATAGAAGAGAGACAGGCATAGTACCAAGAAAATGTTAAGTTTCTACTGCTCTGAAAACTAGCACACATCTACAAACTTTCAGTTGCAATGGTTTTTGTTCCTTCTCTAGTCCAAGACTCGACAATTTTGCAAAAGATGCAGCTATGCAGCCTTTCCTGGTGAAACTAGGCTTTTAAAACAGTAGGCAAAAGACAGAGCAATAGGGAAGAAATGAAAAAAGGACATGATGAGGAAACAAAAATTTGAGGGAAGAAGTAGCAGCAGAAATGCCAGTCTCTTAATCCATATGTCAGGACTTTAATAAAAGCCTGAAGAGACATCTGTGTCATGTGAGTTCCCCTCTTTGAGTCAGTCTGGTGGTGAATTCCCAAGATGTGTGTATCACAGAGGACCACAGAGATCCTAGAGGCTGTAAACATGACTATAAAGTTGATTAAAGTTTGGTTCTTATAGCCAAGCCGTTTTCTGTATTACAGATGCCCCAAAGTAGCGAGGAATAGAATAACCTATATCCTCACTGTTTTTCCTACCAGCTAGAACTCATCTCCAGAACTAATTTTTGTTAAGTATTTTCTTGTTCTACTGACTTTTTGGTTAGCAACTATTATGTTAATATAATACTGGAAAAGTTTAAGTAGGCTTTAAGGAGCTGATCAGTCAATTCGCTATTAATTATTCGTTAAAGATTTTAGAAACAGTGTTGTATGAGAGGCTGAGTTTTTTACTTTTAACGTTTGTTTTTAACATTGTAAAATACAAGTCTCTGAACAGTACACTGAATAAGGAGTTCTTTTCAATTATATTCTTCTATAACTTTTGCATCTATGGATAGTAGCTCCACAAAGAAGGAGGAGTCTTCAGTCCTAATACCTCTTGCAAAGACTGCTGCTATGGTTTTGTGCTGCATAGACTTGCAATTAAATGTAATCACATAAAATTCTAAGCATTTGGAGCATGCACCATTTCTCTAAGGGAATCTTATCATTATTAGGCTAAAAAAAATCCACCCGATTCTTGTTTAGTCTCTCATTCTGGCCTTATGAATATTGAGTTCCTTGCTATACAGTAGTTCTTACTGCACTGCGTGCAGCCATTAGTAGTTACAGTACTCTTCTAGGAATTTGAAGCCACAAGTTCATCTGTGGGGCTGAACACTCTAATACTAGGAAAAAGGTATTATTGCCACCATGCTTGTCATACACAGTCGGTGTCTGTTTGCTAAAGAAAACTCAGCATTGTCAATCCTGAGTGAATGGGCGCTTACCAAGTTAGGTGCCTCAGTATGCATGTTGTGTGTGCATAGTGCCTCCTCCTGAGAGGATTTAACATCCAGGTGCAACGAGTTGTTCCCTCTCCCTTTATTGCCCATATAAGTGAAGACCTTTAAAGGTTGTATAAAAAGCCTAAACTCCTTGTTTAAGTGCTTTGTATCACAGAGTGGCTACTTTTTGCAATGCCTTTTACAAACTCTTAGTGGCAAAAATCGTCACTAAAAGCTTGTTACTTTTTAGGTGTTGCAGTGTCTGAGCTAGGCACATGAAGCAGGTGGTCTGAGCATGATCTTTAATGTCTACATATTTCTTACATTTCTTAACAGAGTTAACAAACTTTGAAAGTCCTGTATCAAGTTGAAAACAACACACTTTTTTGTCTGTATTTCATCTGAAGTAGACATGGGTGCACAATTTTTTTAATTGTGTTATGTCATGTACATGGTTTAAAATAGTGCCACTAAATAGATGTATTATTCAAAGGAGATGAGTATAACTAGTCCTATATTTGACATAACCTTCTAAAAGATATATTTAATAAAATTTATTTGGCAGGTTATGTTCTCAGTGGATTTCCTTCTCTCTCAGAGGAATACATGACTGTTTCACAGCAAATAGAGAAAATAAAGAATCTAAAATTAAAACCAGATTTCCTGATTAACATTAAGGTAATGTCATCTTGAGTAACTTGCTAGTAATTTTCCTAATTATCAGCAGATTCATATGTTGCATAAGTCAAGAGATGATATTTTCACCTGTGCATTTGAGTATAGTATTTGTTGAGGAATAATAAAATGTTCTCTTTTATATTGGAATGGAATTACACTAGTTTGTAAGTTAAAGCATCCATTATAAGCATTGCTCATGTAAAATAATGAACGTTTCCTAAAACTTCAGTAGTAGTTACAGTCTTTGCACCTCTACCAATTAGAAGATACAGATTTTCAAGAAAAGAAAACTTTGAATAACATTATTATTAAGGGATTTCAGGTACATGTACATCTGCGATTCATGTATTTCAGGAAGAAGCTTTTCACATATGAAAGTTACAAAGCAAATTGGTTTATTTTTTAATTACTAATTGTGAAACTGCCTCTTAGTCATTACTAATTCATCTCATTTACAAATCTCCTTTTCTTCATAAGTAGTAAAGTGACATAGCAGGTACTTTACAAAACTGACTCTAATATAACCAGAGAAACGTAAATAATTGTTAGTGTAGGATTAAGAGGACTTTCTCAATGTAACTTAAAAGAATGGACTTGCTGGCTACATCCATATTAGTAAATAAAACAAGGCAAGAGCGACTCTTCAGACATCAGGCCAACTGCTTTGGCAAAACACAGCTAACCTGCCTGGTTAGTCAGCGCGGGGTGGCCGTGTCCGAACTGCCCACGGGGAAGGCCCTAGGCCTGTGCCATTCTCCAGATTATGCCCAGCTATTCACCAGGGGGAATACTAGCTCGACCACACCAAACTTTGCCAGGCTCCATGCAGACAAAGTAACAGTATGTATAATCATGAACAAGGGTTCTTGCATTGTTTTATTTATTAGCAACTAGATTATTTCAGTCTTTTATTCTGAATGTGCAGAATGAGCTGCTGAGGCAACTCTGAATACAGCCTCTGGTGTTGTGCTCCATTCTTATTGGGATTTTAATTCTAGTTGTCATATCTATGTGGTTTGTCAGATGATAAGCTTCAGTGCATGGACCCAGTCTATCACTTTGCCAGATTTAAGTTCATGTGTGTTTTAATTCCATACTTTTGAGACTTAAGTTGTTTGACCATGCATAATGAAAATTTATGAATGCCTACTTCAAACCTTTTTTCCTGTGTTCATGGAAAGATCTTAAAACATCAGAGAGACATATTTTTGTGCTGCTTTTCAGACGCTTCTGATTTTTTCAGCTACAGAAAGTCAATCTTTGTTTTAATACCAGATAGTGAGAAATCCCAGTTCTTAAGAATATATGTAGTATAGTTTCATATGGAACAGTACAAATAGAAGAGTGATACTAACCACACTAGGCAGAAAACAGAATACTTGACTTCATGTAGTTACATCATCTTCTCCTCCAGGAAGAAGACTGAGACTGAATGCTCATTAAAAATCTTTGCCCCAAAGTCAAATGAATAATTTTGCCTTTTATTTCAGTGGGTTCAAGCTGTTTTCATGGATATGACAGAATTGTCACCATTTTCGTTATATCAAAAAGAAACGAAGAAGAGAGATTCTAGATAGCTCTGGAAATAATGAAATACTGTTATTAGCAGACCAATTTAGAGAAATTTTGTCTCTCCAAGAAGGACAGAAAATGCACCTTTGAAAAAACCACCATATCTGATCAAATTTCTCCTTCTCTATTTCAAAATGTGCTATGTTATATAGCAGTCATGTCAGCCATATGACTCACCATAGAAATACAGAAATATCCTAAAGTACTGTAATACTACAAGGGATACCTCAGGAAATTAGTGTAATGGGCCTATTGCTAGCAATGGGATCTCAAAATAAGTCTAGTGTGCCTGTTGCTAGCAATGCGATCTCAAAAACTATATTTTCTTTAGAAATCAGTTCTCCATTTCTGTAACAAGTTGACCTTAACAACTACAATATTTTCTTGTTATCTCAGGTTTTTCATATATGTTTGAAGGGTAGGTATTAGTGATTTAGAAAGGAAGAATGATTATTATTTTTTGTTGTGCCCCACCCCCAATTCCATAGTAGAATTTTAAGATACCCATCTTAAGACCTCTTGGTGATCTGGAGACTCCAAGTGTGTATTGATGCAAGTACAATTTAGGACAGGTCAGATAGAAGCTTTATTAACTGTAATCATAGTGAGCAAGCATTCAGACAGCATGGATGGACTCCCTAAGCAGCTTGCTAACAGCCACTATGCTAAGAAGGAATCAAAGAGTACATAATGTGACAATGTAGAAATAAGCCTATAGGAGTGGCACACCCAGTATTATCTTAGCTCAGAAGTGGGGAGGCAGAAACAGTCACAGACTGTTAGCTTTTAGTTGAAAGGAATGTTTTAGTTACAGCGAATGTTTTAGTTAGGATATTTAGTTAGGAATGTTTTAGTGAGAATAAACTTCTTAGGCAGACCTCTGAAATCTTAAATATTAATAATTTTACCACCACAGACTACATCCAGATTTATCTGTGTTTAATGTTAAACTAAATTTGTGTCTGCAGGGCTTTTTATGGAAACACCTTTGCTTACTCTTCCAGAGTTCCAAACAGCTGAACTCCTTTAGCCTCTGATGCAATGGCACTATGCTTTTGGGTAATAGTAGAGCTCTGAGAGGTCAGAGGCACCTAGTAAAATTGACTTAATCTCGTTCAAGTCCAAACCACTTTGGCATTAATTGCAAATGCAATCACAAGCCTGTCTGCAAAATACTTTTATCCATAAACTACACCTACACTTGTTATACTACAAGGTATAACTTGCATGGTAAAATGTGCTCAAGTAGTGGCTACACTCCTGATACGGAATGTAAAATGCTGTTGGGGAAAAACTATCCAAGTGTTCAAGACTTTCTTTAATATGTGCTGCTTTTGAAAATTTTCTGTATACTCAGAATGTTGTTGGAGAAGAAGTTTATGAATCCAAGTATTTGCCAAACAGATTCCTATCCCCCATTCTGCAGTTTCAGGAAAAATAATATTATTACAGCAGTACAATGAACACCTGACTTCCTTTTAATTATTTCTTGCTAGTGTTCAGATTATGACTTATGCCAAAGAATATCAGGACAAAGGCAACACCCTGATTCAGGGCAGATATATCAGAGGAACCAGTGGGATCCTAACATTATTGAAAAGCATAAGAAAGAGAAAGATCAGCATGAAGAAGAGAATGAAGAAGATGAAGAGCAGGAAGAAGAAGAGGTAAATATTGCTAATTTCTAAACAGTGCAGAGTATTGTAATGTACTCTAGACAAAGGAGAACAAATTCCAGTACTCTAAAATATCACCATACTACATTATGAATTAGTTTTGCTCAACTTTAATCTTAATTCAATTTCTGTTCTGCTTTAAGAGATGTGGGATAATACTTAAATGGTAGGTTTAAATGACAGCAAATTGTGATTATTGTATAGCTTAACTTGGATTAAGTCTCTAATTCAGGAGTCACTGAACTGTTTCTTGCCATAAGTTAAAAGGGTGGATCAGGAGAGTGGTGACTCTATATTGTCTGTTTCTTGGTCTAAGCAAATAAAAGAGTTCTTCAGTTTTGTATATTGTAGCAAGTTTTACTACTATTTGCAGGATACTAGCTTGTTTTCTGCTTTTGGTATTAGACTACTTCAAATGGATTTTCTTTTTTTTTCATTAAGGTATTAGTTTTTAATTCAGGTTGAATTGTCCTGGTTTATAATGCTGCCCGGAGACTTATCAATGCAAGTTCCAGGCACATTCCTCTCAATTTGCAGAAGCTACACTTCATCATGATAGGATCATGGTCAGCAATCACTGGACTAATACTCATTGCAATACTCTGAAAAATTACTTTATTTACCTTTAAGTAAAGACAAAAATTATTTTAGTACATTATTTTATTTCTGTATTGTGAAATATTTAACTTTTCATTCTGCAGGCTGCAGAAGATCCACTTATGATGTCAGAATTTTTGCATCAATTAGTGCAGAGGCCTGAAGATATTCTTGAAAATGCAGAGGAAAGAGTTGGAATGTATAAGGCTATAATGCTTCATCCTTTAGAAGTAAGAAAAAACAAAACAGTATGATGATGCATACCAAAAGATTTTTTAAAATATTTTGCACTGTTTTTCTTTAGTTTGAAATTTGTTGTATGGAAGTGGGCACAAGGCATGATACAATATATCCTCAAATTCTGAAATTCATACTGAAATCAACGATACAAAATTGTCATCTGTAGGTGTTGTTTCTACTCTGCAGTCAAGATAAAGTAATCCACTTCAAGTTTTAAAAGCGAAACCATACTTGCCACCACAGACGCTTCCTAAATCTAGGAAGTGAAATATTTGAAGAGTCCAGTGTATCTTACTTAGGCTTCACTAATGATGAATGTATTAGTGAGCATACTTAGTGGTCCACTAATACATTAAAAGAACATAGGCATCTATCATTGGCCCAGGTAGAGGTTGAGATGATGAAATTGAAAAAAAAGCTTATAAGATGTGCAGTTTGCACGGAAATGGGATAGGTAGAAAGAACGTTGGAGAACAGAATTTGATTTCTTGATAAGTTGTTAGGATAGAATTGAGTAAAAATAAGTGTGAAATGCTACAGTTAGGGAGGAAACCTAATGAACAACTGCAACATGTGAAATAATTGGCTAGACCTCAGTACTGCAGACAGTCTGCAATCTGTGAGGCTTTAGTTAGTCATAAACTGAGTCAATAAATGTGATGCTATTGTACAAAGGCAAATATTATGGATGTACTAATAGGACCATTGTATATAAGAGAAACACAAACTATTATCGTCTCTGTAGAAGAGTATTAGAAAGAAGTAATTAGTTATTACTATTTCTACCAAAGATAGGACAAATAATTTCATTTATAGTATAGAAGACAGACTAGATGCAAGGAAATGAACTGTGACCATAAGTGTAGTGAAGAACTGGAACAGATTACCTACAAAGTTGTAAAGTCACCTTCACTAGGCTTTTTCAGGGCTGGGGTTAGACCAGCATCTGTCAGGAACGGGGTGAGTATTCTCAATCCTCAGACAGAGACACTAACAACAGACATGGGATGTCTATTTTAGTTTAATATCTTATTTACTAATGGGAAATTTGAAAATAAGAAAAAATCAAATATATTGTTCAAATTTTACAAAAATTGAGAGTCAGGACCAAAATGAAAACATCGTTCTCGTGGCTGGTATTTCAAAGAAATCTGTTAATTGACATTGTCACCATTTTCCAGCAGAGAATTAAGGTAGTTAGACAATTAGAAGTTGAATTCAAACACAAAATGTTACTGTATCTTGATTCTCTGTAGCTCTCTTGCATTTGAGCTAGGATATCTAACCTGTTTTCTGAACTCATTGTAACTCCAGTTTTGGAATTCTCTGTGTTTATCCATGAGCAAATACAAGTTTGTATCCAGAAGATTTTATAAGTCATCAGTACAATGAATCTTGGTTTTGCTGAAGTCCACAGGAGTCCAGCCTTTGATATGTATAGGAACAGAATGAGCTTCAGTGTCATTATCTGGTTAACTATACTCAATTGATGAGTATGTCTTTGTTCTTAAACAGGACTTGATGGCTGAACAGGATTGTCAATATGTTATTGAAGTGGATGGAAATCAGAAACCAGATGATCTCTTTGTAGTAAGCAAGCTATGCCCCAACTTAGTTAACCTCCACTAGAAAATAATTTCTCAATTCTGTGGATTGTTTCTTTATTAAGGTGTCAGCAAAATTTTAAGTTGTGTATAAAAGTCATTAATTACTATTAGAAAACTTGACCTTTGAAATGCTTGCATTTTTTTTCTCTATTAAAACCGTTATAAGATTCATTGCACTGCTCCCAGACTTACATATGTTATATGAGAATATTTTCAGGCAGGCTGTAAACTCTTTTGTATTGTATCCATCTGGTTTTAGCACTTTATTTTGTGTATCAGTGTAAAATATCATTATTAACAGGAGAAATGAAAATATTTTCAGTATGATTTATTTACAGAATTAGCTTATTTTGTGCCAGTGTCTAAAATAATGACAAATTTTATGACCTTTGATACTGTTTTACAGTAAAATAGAAGACACTTCATTCTTTTAACAATTCTGCTGAGTGCTTGTGTCTAGATTTTTAGCTCATAACATAGCCACTCATTCTCCCTATTAAAAAAATATAATGATAAAAATTGAAGATAAATAATCTTATCCTCTGCCTTAGAAATAAGAGTTGCTTCAAATCAGAACCTAAATTATGGGGTTGAAAATGAAGCAAGAGATCGTCTTTGACAATGTAGGAGGTGAGCTGCTCCTGCAGTTTCTCCTCTGTTGTTTGAAACAAATTGAATCAATTATAATTCTGTAAGTATTATTTCAATTTATGCTTAACTTTACTACCAAGAGTAGTCCTATGGGAAAAAACCCACTGATTTTGCATAGTTGGAACATAAAATTTCCTCATTTATGATCTGTTTGTGAACCTTACAACAGAAAATTTATAGTAAAGGCAATCAAGTTGTGTAAAGATTCCAAGCATTTCACCTATAAGTCAGGCAAAGACCTATTACAAAACTAGTCCAAACATGACACAATTTGCTTTCTCATTTCAAGAACACTTGCATTCAAACAAGATTATGTTCAGGAAATACTTCAGTTAAATTTAATATCATCTGATTCTCATTGGCAGACATCTGGTTTAAGTATCTTTTAAAATAAATTACCCAAATTTTATTACTTCCAAGTGTGCATAATCTGATCTCCTAAAGAGACTTTCCTCCTTTTCAGACTGGAGCTCATCTGAATACTTCCACTGCTTTGTGGGAAAGAATCCTCACAGCCTATTCTTTTAGAAGGCTTGGGATTCACAGCATAATGAGGAGATACAAAGGCTGTGATTCAGCATTTTGCACTGCCTGTATCTACCAAATAGCTTCTTAAAACTCAGCTCAGTAACTAGCATGACTCCAAGCTAGAAACCGGGCCTTAATGTATATGTAGACATTGTATAAATAATAAGTTACAATTTTAAAAATACTTTGGGGATCCTTTCGCATCACAAAAGCAGTTTTGACTGGTACTAAGTCAAGAGTTATTTTCTCTTCAGTCAGTGGTAGTTCGACTTCAATCTCTGGGTGTTCGAAATGGAGCTCCTATAACCAGACTTCAAAGTCGGCAAGAAGAAATGCTGGAGGGATTGGAAAATGTAAGTGTGCTTTTCTAAAACATGATAGAGTGTAATAATTATAAAAATATTTTTTATTTTCTGCTGTAAGCTTATATTATAACATCTTTGTTTCACAGCAACCAGTTTGTTTTACCATGTAATAAGGGCATTTTTTGAGCCTTGATTTTCCAGAAATGTGAATTTAAGATAATTCTGGGACTGAAATCCACTTAAAAGAGTACAAAAAGAAAAAAGTCTGTGATTAAAAAAATAAAGGTAGACGATTATAATAAAATTTTGAACAAAATGTTTATTTTAGCAATAGAGGAAGAATTAATTCGTTCTAAGAAAATAAAGAAACTTTAGCCAAAGGATAACAATTTCAGCAGCTGACGCTTAGCTCTGTCTTTACTCTTTTCCTGAATGAGAAACAACATGCTAATACAAAGTTAGCAACATCCTGCATAGCTGAAATCGCCTATGTTCTATGTCCTGAAACATTACAAATTAGTGCTGAATTTTGCTGAATCATGACAATTATAATTTGTGTCCCTTCCAGATAAAACTGAAAACCAGAAGTCTTTCATAAGTGTCTTTACCTATATTTACTTGCAGTCATCTTTCCTATTTCTTAAACAAAACTTTGAATATATGTGTATCCCCAGTACTGTAACTGGGAGACTCCACTGTACATTTTCAGAGAAACAGCCCCCCCCTTCACTTTTCTGTTCTCTCAGTTCCTGACCAATTCACAAGTGAAAGACTTTCTGTGTCAGAGGTCATCTGTATTTATTATTTAATTAGTCTGTATGTTTGTGTTAATCTCTGTGTAAACTTTTAGCATCCACAGTATTTGGGGCAAGGAGTTCTGCAGCTTAACTGGACATTATACACAGAATTGCTTCCCTTTGTGTTGAACCTGCCACCTTTTAGCTCAGTGTCCTCTAGTTGTTGAAATGCAGAAGTCAGTAAATAGTTCTGTTCTCTGTATCTGCCCTCTAATAACTCATTATTTCAGACTTCTGTCCTGTTCTTACGTAGCTGTCTTGTTCCTGGACCGAGGAGTTCCAGTCAACTTAATCTTATTTCTTCTTATATGAAAATGTTTTTGGTTATTGATCAGTCATATTACCTTTTTCTGAAACTTTTCCAATTCTGCTCCATACTTTTTGAGATTAGGGTAGCAGAATGCACGTAGCAGTAAAGATGAGGGCAGGATTTATACAATTAAAAAATAAACCTTTATCTTCTATTCTCTCTGCTAAATATTCCTAACATTCAGGTTAGTTTTCTGACTGCTCTTGGGCATTGACCAAATGTTTTCATGGAAGTATGTATTATAATTCCAAGATCTATTCCTGAGTAGTGACAAGTCAATGACAACTCATCATTTTCTGTGTAAAACTACTATTTTAATGCTTGGTTTCCTAGATTCTGAAGGCCTTTCTGCAGTTCTTCACAGCCCGCACTTGTCTGTATTATTCTGAATAATTTAGAGTCACCATAAACTTTAGGATTCACTCATTGTTCACCTTCTGTAAAAGATCTATTAAACTTAGTCCTATCACATGACATTTCTGCATGCCTAAAAGAGATATTTTTGGCCTTCCTATTCCCCCACACAGACCATAGTCCTTTTTTCATACCCTTTAGAAGAAATCTTGCTGATTTTCTGTCATCTTCAATAAGTGGCTGATTTGTACCTCTTTATCGTTTTAAACTTCTGAAAATAATAAAGCCTACAGGAACTATTTTAAGTACTATTTTTATTAAATAAACTTGAAAAACTAAACAGTTTCTCCATAAAATTGTCCTACATTTTTTGAAATATGTAATTTTTAAAAAATATTCTAAACAGCGTGATGTGGGTTTCTTTTTAGGTTTGTTTATTTTCCAACAAAATATTTCAAAAAAGGCTAAGAACAAGGCATATGTAGCTTGAGACAAAAAATTACATATGCTGTTATTGCTGTTTTAATAAACAGGATGAACTTTTCCGGCTTTTGTCATCTTACAAACTAATAGCACACAGATATCGATGGCGTAGAAGCAAGTGGGGGCAAGCATGTCCTGTGGCTCTAAAGGAAGGTGATATTGTAATGGGAAAGCCAGACTTGGCTGTCAGGTTAGCAGAATTTGACCCTTATTATTTTTATTTCGATTTTATAAGGTAACTGTCTATATCTGTTAGCTTCTCTTCTGTTTTAAGTTTTCTAGGTAAAATGTATGTACTGTCATCCCCAGAGGCATTGAAAACATTTATGTTGAATCCACGGCCTTACCTGTTACCACCAATGCCACTTCCTCCTTGTAAAGTACTAGTGTTTGGTCCTCCATTCTCTGGAAGAACAACTATTTGTAACCTAATTGCACACAAATATAAAGGAAAGGTAAGTTTATAAATGTTTTACATAACAAAGGTGTCAGCTGAGGCTTGGGAATCAGTTAAGCACATTCTTATTGCTGTTGTATTGTTTTAACATACACATTGCGAACATATGGATTACAGAGGAAACAGTAATATTGTGAAAATCATTTATATAAATAGCTAAATTTCAAAAATATTTTTATTTAACCTCTAGGTAAGACAAGTATTTATGTGTCAGTTATTTGTCTTAGCATAAGAATATTATGAATAACTTTTGTATCTAAGATAATTAAATGTAAATGCAAATTAGAATTTTTTTTCCACAAAAAAACCCCCTGCACTTCAATTATATGTAAATTTTAGGAAATTTGCAGAGCTTTTCTAAATTCATTTAATTGTATAGAAGTTGGATCAGATGCTAATACTTCTCTTCTATGATACTTTTATTTTTCAAACCGTTTCACTAGGTTCTCGATATGGCCAAACTCATTCAACCCCGTATGGAAGAATCAAGAGAAAAAAACATTGAGCAAGTGCGAAGGGATACAGTAGAAAAGGCTATAACAGCAGTGAAAAATAGGTTGGAATTAGAAAAAGACTCAAGAGAATCAGGTGAATAAGGTGTTCCATGGCCTCTGAAGCTATCATATTTGCTTTAGGTTATTTAACTGAAGCAACTGCTGTCACTTCAGCTTGTAAAATATTACAGAAGTTGTTACAATTGTTGTGCATTAAATATGAACTAAAAGAGCATGCAGTGAAGGGAATAGCTGAGTAGAATTCAGTATTTTTGATATTATATATATAAATCCTCTGAAGTTGAGGGCGATAAGTATGTAAGAAAGAGTTTCCTGAGCTCTTTGTGAAAGAAATTGGTTCTGACTGATACTGATTGGAAACTTTCCATTTGAATGACTTTCTGACAAGTTAAATCTCTGCAAAATCGAAATTTTCTTCAAGAAAGCACCTTGTCAGCTAGGCTGTGAACCTACAATCTACAGATTTTCCACTTTGGAGCAGCCTTCCATGTGTGCCATCTCAAATGGCACATTCACAAGACTCTCCAGCTCTGGTGACTTTTAGACGTCTTAAGATGCCCAGGTTTTTGCAGCTTGATGAATTCAGAAAATATTTTGAAAAGGTGAAAATAACATGTTCTTTTAATATATTTTAAACAAAATTTGGATTTTCTTTTTGCAGGAAATTTAGTGGGTTTTTTTCAAAATTATTTCTTTTGAAATGAAAATTTTCCATTGAACTGGAATTGCCTTTTCCAGTTAGCTCTAGTTATGCTTCAAATGGACAATCAGGTCATTTTGCCTTATTCAACTAAGCAAGGAATTACTGTATTTGACTTACTCATGAGTAGATACATACCTAACAAGAAGTCAGTATATTCCTCTCATGCTGGAAAACATAGAAACTGACATTGATACAAAAACCATTGGTGTTGCAGTAAGAATAATGGTGAACTATGACACTAAAATTAAAACCATTAAACAGTGTTATGTTCCAGATTCCTGGTTATGTAAATACCTTTGAGGACAAGTATGTGAAATCATATCAGGATTCATGAGAACTTAATCCTAATTAATAACCTTGGAGAGCTCAAGCAATTTTATTGCAAAACAGAACTACAAACAGATGAAGGACGTGAATTGTCATAGAAAGTAAGAAAGCTTCAGAAGGGGAAATTAAATATTTTTGGAAGCTTGAATCTAGATCTAGAGGTAACTATGCCAGACAGTATTTCCTATTCCTAATTAAATTATTTAGTTAATTACTTAGTAAATTCTGCCATTTGAGAGAATTACAGAGAATCACTAAAATTTATGCAAAAGACATGTATCAGTTTAATTAGTTAAATGGCCTGCTGACTGTCCTGAGTGCTCCCAAGTCCAGTTCAGGGATAGACAGTGAGGCTATAAAACTGCACTGAAGTCCACACAGTTTCTGCCTACTGTCAGAGTTGGTCAGGAGATTGAAGCTGTTGCTGCTAAGGACTCAATATCCATGTCATGCACGGAGGACTTTCAGACTAGCTGTATTGTCATGGGCTGAACACTTCATGGCTTAGCATAGTAAATGTGCATCTGGAAGGAATCAATTAGTTTGCATATTCCAAGACTGCTTTGCCATGTGTACCAAAGCATGGGAAGGATCAGGAGATTCACTTAAAACATACTCTTCTGATTCAAACTAAAAAGGTAACATATACACACTTGGACGGTCCCAGTCTGTTTATGTGCTCAGATGACATACAGCTCTAACAGAACCACGTTGTTCTGAAGAACTGAAGAAGTGTTCAGGACTTCTGTATTTTTAAACTCTTTTCTGGCTTTTGTCATCTTTCTGATCTCTTTTCTTTTGAGGGGAGAAACAGGCATATGAAAACTGGTACTGCTGGAGAGCCATTTGTGTTTCATGGGCTGATGGGTACTAGTCTTGCCTTCACTAGGGCTGGAAAAGTGCTTGTGATTCCTAGGAGGTGTGTTGGGGGATTCCACAGATTAGGAGGCTGCAGATGAAGAGACGACTGACTTGTAGCTGGTTTATTCAGATGGATTTTGTGAGGAAGTAGTTGTATAAAAGGGTTTTCTGCTGATCTAGTTTTCTGTGAATTTAATACCATTTCTTAACTATAGGAGACTTGCAAAAACATAGTAGTGCCAAAAAAGTAGATGATTCTGAAGAACCCACTAAAACCAGACAGGGAGTAAACTTGGAAGAGGGGACTACTATAAATCTGCCATCACCCAAAAAAGTAAAAAGTAAATCTTAGCTATTTTAAGCATGTCATTCCATGCTTTTAACGTGTCTTGCAAATTAAAAAGTGAAAGATAATTTTTTTTTCCCTCATTTACACATGCAGGACTATTTTAATTTATTTCCTTTTGGTGATTATGTCGTTTTGAGAAACCTAAAATGAAATGGTTAATTTTGTCATTGAAAGATATTAACCCATTAATATCATGTTGGTGTGCAGGGGAAAAAAACTCCCACTGACCTTCGTAGGAGCTAAGCATGTATTTTGATGAAAAGTTTGGTGTTTTCACTTACAGATTTTTTTAGAGCATAAGATTGTTTCAGAATTTTTAATAGGTAAGGAGAATAAGTGTTAATTCACATAGAAAAATGTAGGTGAAGAGAGGATCTAAATTCAGGAGTAGGAGTTTTTGCCATTTGAATATGAGAAACTTAAAAGTATGCTAAGTTTTAATTAACCTGTTGAAAAATACTTAAACAACTGCAATATGTTTGTAAACTTGACATGGTTTACAAATTTATTTTTTTTTTCCTACAGAACAGACTGATATTTTGTCTCAACCAAGAAAGACAGATTATTAGGTAGATCCAATTAATGAAATATATTTTGAAGGATCTAAAATGGAAATGAAATAAATGTGGATTGTGAGGTAGTTTTTACAAATTTGCCTTTTTAAAGAAAAACATTTGTTCCTTCAATTATATTCTTCCTTTAATTTATGACATTCTGTACCAGCAAAAGATATTGAAGAGAGCACTAAAGAAAGATCTATTTCTTGAAATAGAGAAGTAGAATATAATATCTTTAGCTATGATAACTGTAAAGTCGGTTTGGGTTTGGGTTGGGTTGAGGTTTTTTGCAAAATGGAAACACTCTAGTAAGATATTGTCCCTTTCCCAGGGAGCTTGTAACGTGGCAAAAATAACCTGATAAAGTGTAAATTTGTGTATGTAAAAAGTATCAACACAATCAGTGAAAAATCTTGGCATAATTACAGAAAGTAAATATGGCATTTTTTCCAAATTATGCTCTCCACATAGATATTGCAGTTGCTTAAAACAGTTCTTCAGCAAATTTTATCAAATTAGTATGCAAACTGTGAACTAATTCTGAGTGTTCCTTAAAAATTTTTTAAACAATTACAGTCTATTGTGTCAGGAATTAATAACAAAATATGGATCCAATGTGAACATTTTGTGCATTTTAGGGAATGCAGGCTTGATTGTTGACAATATACTGTCTTGATCTATGATTTGTATTGATTTTTAAATTAATCTGGTTAACCTTTTGATTTAGGAATCAAAGAGAAATCGAATCAAAGAGAAATGAAATCAAAGGAAATTTTCAGATGCTGCAGGTGCCTGATTGTTCTAGTACACAAATGTCATTCCATTCATATTGAAACAATATTTCACTTAGTGGTAGAAAATACTGTACAGTTAAAAAGTTGTTGTTTTTTTTTTTAATGAGAGAGCAAACCAAGATCTTAAAACTTATCTTTATGAAATACCCTCTAGAACTGCATTCAGAAGAACTGGTATTTGATTCTTTCTCAGTATGATTGTGTAATATTGCTTAAAATGACTGCTGCACTGTAATGATCAGGTGGCTGGATTTAATTGCCTTGCAGTTATTCCTGACCAGAGTAAATAATTATTTCAGAATTCTGTGAAGCACTTTAAAAAATACCTATGTTGTTAGGAATGTCAGAGATAACTGCCGACCACCCGGAAGTTCAAGCAGTGGTAGAAGAAGCCATAAAAAGTGCATCAGCCTCCAAAGTTACGCTGTCACCTGAAATACATGCTGAAGTGCTGGAGAGAGCTATTGCAGAGGTAAAACTACAAGTTCTTTATAGAAAAGCCCTTTTTTTTCTAAACGCAACTTCTAACAGTTTATACATTATTGATACATGTTCTTAATTTTTCTGTTTGAAAGATCATTTTTATTTATATCACATAATCTGAAAGCTTACATAGGATTGAGGAGAGACTGGGCAAGATCATGAAAGACAAATCTGTTGAGGACTACCGTATATATATACAAATTATTTCTGTCTTGCAAAGTACCTGGGCTACAAATTGTTAAAGGCCGGGAGAATCATCTGAGGAAAGTATCACTATATGCTTGCCCTATTCTTAAATTCTTAGGCACTATTAAAGAGCTCAACACCAGATACAAGTGAAAAAGAATTGTATGTGAAGGTTTATCCAAGAATCTTGAATTGTTTTAAATTTGTTCACTGGTTTGTAATTATTGAAACTGGAATCTAAGTTCTTTATAGGCAACCTTAAAAAATCACTGTCACATTAATCTCTTTTTGTTTAAAATGTTTTTATTTCATTCAGACATATAAAGTTATAAATGTCTTACTTTTTGTTGACGAGAAATGACAGGGAAAAATCTTAACATTTAGAAAATAATTTTGTATTGTGCAGTCTTTTTGAACAGCTCACAGACTATCTTAGTCTTTTTATGTTACTGAACCTGACATTTTATAACAGCTTATGAAGAAGAACAAAGACAGGTTTCCTGGTGCTCCAGAAAAAGGAGGATGGGTAGTGGATAACTACCCTCTGTCAGTAGATCACTGGTCAGCTTTGTCAGAAAGAGGACTTTTACCTGACACTGTTGTCTGTCTGAAGGATACACAAAAAGACGGTTAGTAAGTGCACACTAATGAAACTGAAATTTTCTTTTTTCTGTGTTGATATGTGTATATAAAGCACAGTTATAAGAAAAACTAATAGTTATGTCTAGAGAAGGAAGAATCCGGCAAGTCAACACGGGTACCCCAAATGTCTTACAATTTGGATTAAGGGAATTACGCAGAATTGAAAACAGGAATGCTTTGCAAAAGCAGTAAAGAAAATTCATCGTATTTGTAATCCTATTTACAATTTCTTGCTATTTACAATCAGCAGTAAATACCACTGGACTCTTGCAGTTTCAGACTTTCATATTCTGTGTCTGGCTAGCCACCGGCTTGTGATGTGGCTCTCAGTCAAACTTCCCTGCCTGTGCCTTGGTTTCCCCACTTGCAAAATCAGGTTATAGATATGAACTTTCTCTGCTTGAGAGAAAAGGGGAGGAGAAATACCTGTATGCAGGTGTATCCTGTTCCCCATCCTAGGTCAAAAAAGTTGAGCAACTTCTTATCCAGATTGATACAATAGCTTATTACCCATAAATTCAGAGGAAGGGATTTTTACTTTATTGTTTCAAGCAGGAAGGAAGGTTGGTAGCAGGCATGAAAAACTGAACAGATTCATACACTGTTAAAAGTTTTGCCTGCCAAATCATGTCTTAATGGATTATGCCTGCTTGATTCATACTACACCACAAGTTTCATTGCCGTGTAGCAATGTTTAATCATTACCTGTTCAACCCATCCATTATCAAAATGTCTTTCAGTAGCAGAAACTTCCCTTCAAGACAGGAATGATCGGTCTAGTCATACTTAGTTCAAGAAAGCTCAGTAACTGCCTGATATTAGAATCAGTCCAGAGAGCTTTTCAAACCCTTGTCCCTGAGTATAAAATCTACCTGAGCAAATCAAGGTTACAAAGTTTACTAACAATAGATTTCTTATTTTTTAAAAAAAAAAAAGCTTTTTAGAAGCATGTCATCTGATCATCTGATCATTTGTGTTGTTCAAAGCTGTAAAAATAAGAGGGGAAATGCATTAAGTATTCTTTGTTATAAAAGATCACAAAAATACTTGCCAAAATGCTTATTTGTTAACCTATTATTGAAGTGTCTCAGTTACAATAAAGTTTTGCAGTTCACCTCGGGGACAGCATGTCAGGACACTGAGGGCCAGCTGCTCCCAAAGAGCCAGGGAGCGGGCAGCACAGTGTGATAACACGGCCGGCCCTCGGGACAGGGCCTGGCAGCCAGAGCCGGTCCCACTACCCCAGCCAGGAGCAGGGCAGCTCTGGCCCTGGGCATGTATACTATATCAGCATAATGAATTTGGCATTTTCAAAGTGTCTTTGTAAACTAGTAATATAATAATTCATAATTGGGGAGGGGAAGGAAGCAGCATTAAAAAAAGTATGCCACCATATTTGAGGAAAATAAAAATAATCCTAAAGCATAATGATAATTCTTAAATGCAAAACATTTTAGAGGAGCATTGCCTTCTGTTTGACTTTCAGAAATCATACTACCTGATTTTGCAGAGGATGATTTTCCAGATATACCAGAAATGGAAATAATTAAAGGGAAGATTGACCTTTTCATGCATGACTGGCAAATAGTGGAGTCAGAAATCAAGCAGTCATCTCTAGTTCAGGTGGTTGTTTTAGAGATTGCTGAGCAAACTCCAGAAAGTCTGCTTAATCAAACTGTGCTGGTTATGGAAAGTAAGTAATACTGTTTATGTGATTTACACTTAACCTACCAAGAGGGATTTTGGAGAGCTTGTATGATGAATATATTGGGGGAGTAGGTTATACTCAGTTCTGTATTACTCACATGAAGTGGGAACAGGACATGCTGTGTTCTGTGGGTGAGCTGAAAAGCACACTAGCAGCCTTTAGGACACAGGAAGAGTGGGGAATATATATATTTGAAATATATATATAAAGCTATATAAATATGTACGTAATAGCTCCCTAAACATTCTGACAGAACATTTCCTCAGTTACTTGCTCTATCTGTTCATGTCAGGATACTGGTTTGAGAAATGGACAGATAACAAGGGTTCACTAATGTACAATATTCATTGAAGTCAATGAGGCTTTCAGGGTGTGTAATAATCTAATCTACCCACCTGCATAGATTGTGTTTCAAGACTGGATTTTTACAGCATTGATATTTTTTGGCAAATTACCTTTCTTCACTTGTGTGCTCAAATCTCTTAACAATTTTGAGTACTGGATAAATAATATTAATACTACATTTTTCCTATCATTACTACAATGCAAGTGTTTTATTAACCAAAACGTCTATTGTGCTAGCTTTATAATCAAATAAAATTTGACTGATGATTTTCCCCAATGAACAATAGGGAAAAAAACGTTGCAAACAGCAATGGCATTATCTGTGTGTGTTTGTATAATACTTTTGTGCTACAAGTTCCTATTGAAAATACCAATTTACTTCAACCAAAAAACAACCAGTAGAATTTCAATGTCTGGAGGAAGCAATATATTAATTCCTACATCCAGGGAGAACATTTTGTTCTATGAGTAGAAGAAATGCAATATACAATTGGCATGATTTGCTTTCATATATGTGCTTACTTTTATGGACAAAGAGAATATATTCTAGCATAGCCGAATGAAAAGTACTGAAACAGAAAAAAAATTAACCTTTTCAGAACCTTTTAAATATAATAGTTGGGAATTATCTGCTGAAGATTTAGATGAGGAAGCAGAAGATCTGGCTGCTGAAGGGGAAGATGAAGAAGTTGAAGAAGAGGAAAATGAAAATGAAGAAGTAAGCATACTGGCTTTGTCTGCTTATGCTTTTATTTTAACTCATTTATTTTCAGTTTGAATATAACCCCAGAGAAATCAAATTTTGCACCTGATTTTGTATGATCCAATTTCAGCCTTTTTACAAAATAAATATCAGCGTATGCTTCAAGAACACTTTAATTATATTCCTATGTTCTGGCTGATACTAGTTTTACTCCAGCAAGATGCATAAATAGCCCATGCTAATAGAGAGAATTAATGTACCTAGTTTTACCAGATGGCAAAGAGAGCTTTTATTAAAGAAACAAATGTAAACTTTGATTTCTGTCAACTAACAATTCTGTGAGCCATCATGTAAACATCAGAAGATGCAGAATCTTAACATGCAATCCTCTGTTTCATCTCAGGTATTAATCTTCAAACATCCACTTTAATTAAATTGAAGGTCTAGCTATGCCTTTCTTTTATTTCCATCGTATATTGGAAGATTCCCATCCCCAAATTTAACAGTACAGCTGTCTATGTACTGTATTGATGCAGTACTGAATAGATTTTTTTAGAAATTAATTTTATTGGATAAATAATCTGACTTCATAATAGCAGCTCTCATTGCCTTTTATGAAGAGGTCTACTTCTGCACATTTAGAAGCAACAGAGAATGAATTTCAAGAACACAGCAGGAAAAGATCTGGTCATTCTTTTCTCAATAATTCTCTCACTAGATTGGACAGTTTGTTTTTTTTGACTCTGAATCTAAAAAGTGTGTATTTTCATAGACTTATATTCAGCTTACAAACTATCTTGAGAATACCATCCTCATTCAATGGTCAGGTGATGTACTTGACATTACTTAATCTGATCTACTTGATCTACTTAATCTAAGTGAACTACTGAATTCAAATAGGTTTTGAAAATTTTTGTAATATTTTCAGGATGAAGAAAAAACTAAGGAAAGGAAAAGGCACATGGGAGACACAAAACATTTTTGTCCAGTCAGTCTGAAAGAGAACTTTGTCCTTTACCCAGAACGCTATGAACATGCAGCTAAATATCAAGAAAAGATTTACTACTTTTCAACTTCTGAGTACAGAGATAAATTTTTGAAGAACCCTGACGAGTATGTGGCTCACAATGAACCAATAAAAGTGAGAATCTCCAAAATTGTTTAAAGCAGATAATAATATATTAAAATCACTATTTCCCATTCCCATTTTATAATTGTTTATTTTTGCTGATTTTTCCTAGGTAACAATAAATATATCAGGCAAGTCCCTGAAACAGAAAACCCACATTGCTTCACTAGTGACTTTTTAATGTACACTTAAATTAACACATTGAATTAATGATGCAAATAAAGCAGAAAAGAGAAGATTATAAAGACTTACAATAATCATAAAGTGTGATTAACAAGTCACACATATTGGGGGGGGGGGGGTTACTATCTTTAAATTTTTTTTTTTGGAAGTGGAAGAAGGGTAAATTAAGGGAAGATTTACCAGAATTGTCTAACGAAGTTTCATTTTTACCTATTGGCATCAACTGCCATAGTGTTATTTCTTCAGTATTTACAGAAAGCGAATAGTCTGTTTGGAACAGCAGTAGAAAAATTAAAAAACAGCCTGGAAAAATTAAAATGCAAAATTATGTGACTGTTTTTGATGCAATTTTTATAATGATATTTTGGAAGTGAAAAACATTAGGAGGTGCACTGTAGACTCCAAATTGTTACAAAATACTCCAATTTTTTCCTATAGGCTCCTCCTTTACGGGTGTGCTTACTGGGGACTCATGGAGCTGGTAAAACTACTTGTGCACGACAGATAGCAGACAAATTAGGCATTTTCCATATTCAGTTTGAAGAATATCTACAGGAATTGATCTTACCCAAAACTAAAGAGAAAGTTGGGCCCCGTTTTGAGAAAGAACCTGAAGAAGATGACAATAAAATGCCAATTCTGTCACAGGAACTGGAAGACTTCTCTCAGACCATGACTAAAACTGTGACTGAAAAAAGAAAACAGGTAATAACATGATCTTTTTTATGCCCATACACAAAATAACCATTTTCCAGACCAAATAGGAATTTCCTATAAAATTCTAGCTTGATAAAAATCACTTATGTTAAATTATTTACTTGATGAAATTTGGAAATAATTGTTCTTGACAATGTTTTCTTATGAATGCCACAAACATTCTTCAAAACATTTCCAAGAATTATCTGTAGGGTTTTTTTCTAAATAGTAGAGACAGATGCTAAATGAGGCAAAGGAAGAGAAACTCAGAAGAAAAAACGAAGGTCAGAATAATAATGGGAAGGTATGGTTTCCTTTAAGTATTTATAATATGCAGGTTCAGTCAGGTGCACGTGCTGCAATTGCACAGGAGTTTAGAAATGTCCACCAGCAGTGCTCTCTGCACTCTCCTGGGGCAAAAGAATAGAATGCCTCTACCAGCCCTTCAGTCTGATCATCCCTTGTCAAAAAATCAGAAATATTTCAGTGTTCATAACAGGGTAAACTCGTATTTTTTTAATACAGTAGGTTTTGTAACCTGGATTGTAGTGTTGTCTTTGCCTATTGGCAGCAGAGTTTCAAACCAGAAAAAAACTCTTAGGTAGCTGGATATTCATGGATATTATGACCAAAGCACAGCTGATGCAATGTCAGTTCAGTTTAGAAACCCATTTATTTGCCTATGCACAAAACTCTAGAGGGTAATTTCCAAGGTTGTGGACTCCTTAAGCCTTTCTCTGAGTATGACTACCACCAGACTGTCCAGCTATCCTATTTTTCACTGACCCACTACCTCTCCAAAATAATGTCATTTAATTTCATTTGTATCATTCTCTTTCACTTTGGCACAAGACACTAGAAGCGTATCAAAGCTTAAGGTAAAGGTCAGCTATAATATTCAAAGCAAAAATACTAAAGGCAAATAGAACATACCATGCAGTCTGGGAAGTTTAGCAAAAAGATCCCATCCTGTTGTTTTAGTGTGTGTCAACCAAACCCTTCACAGCATTGACAGGTCTGGGGAGCAACCTTGTCCTTCGAACCACTGCTATGCAGGGTGTTCTCCTTTCTGTACCTGTACATCTCGTGTTTCTTTTCTTTTATCAGATACAAATGCCATTTCAGCAGCTCATCTGCAGTGGTGATGTCAGTGATACATTTATATATGTGTTTTACTGTTTTCTCCCACTTCATACATTTCTTTCAAGGTGTCTCTGTGTTACAGATCTGGCTACCACTTTGCCTTCTTAGGTATCCATTATGCCATACGAACATATTTAATATGTATGCTGTGTCAGGCACTAGAGAAAATATTACTCACACACACACTACATTAGACCTGTGGCTTCCAGCATATTCTGAAGTTCTTTTGGCTATGTTATCAGAGTAGATATCAGGCATAGCAATTATTATTCAGACATGTCCTTGCAGCAAGCAGCTCCCTACCATCATTTTGAGGGTTCCTGAATCACTTTGGATCCTTTTGTTAAAAAGGGTTATTCCTTTATTTTCTGACAGGTTATGCTAACAAATTCTTGAGCAATTGGGGTTAATATGACTTTTACATGAGGAAGTTTTCTCTCCGAGTGACTTTGGATGCAACTTACTTGCATGTTTGATGGCCACTGACATTTAAAAAACACACTTTTTTGGTAGTGTGTATCTAGTCTTCTTAAATATAGATGATTTTTTACAAATGAGACCTTCATAAGGTATGGCAGAAAAAGTATTGAACTCTTTAAAAGATACCAGATACATTTCTCTTCCAAACTTTGCCATTCTGTTTTCAGGGAAAAAAAAAAAAATCAACTAACTAGAAAATAATCTTTTCTTCAGTGAATATTACCATGAAAAAATAACATAGCAGGTCAGGAACAGTGATATTTTCTGACTTCTAATGTTGTCTGTTGTCTTTTATCTGGTGTACTTGTAAAAACATGGGTTTTGATATTGTGACTGATGTAAACTAATCCTGAATCATCAATCTATACCCTCTTTTCATTCTTTTTTACCGCAGTTTGTGTCAGGAAGCCATTCTATGAGAAGTGCAACCTCAGCCATATCAATCTCACAGTGTCACATATTCTGAAAAAAACAGTTTTTCACAAGAATTTAACATCTAGATTTGGTATTTGAATGCCCTGTATTTGACTAGTCATTAATAGTACTACTACTCTGTAGAACAATGCTGGCTGTCTGATTTCTGGTCATGAACCTATACCCAGTAACCTTACATATCTATCTTTGACATCTTTCTTTAGATTGCATCAAAAGGTAAAAGTTGCTTTTAAAAAGTGAAAAAACATTCTGACGTAGTGCAGATAGTTTTCCAGCATACGAACATGTATAACTAAGTGGAAAAATTCTTGTAGGCAATTAGAAGAAACTGTGATCATTTCAGTTTTTATTCCTCTGAACTGAGCATATGTATAATTAAATACTTAACAATTGTGCTTGTTTCACTAAAACTCATACAGCAGCAACTGCCTCAAATCTAGGGAATTACCCAATCTCAAGCACGTGGAAAATATCCCCAAATATATAATGTAGTACAGTGAAATGTGGCAAATGTGTTTGTTTCTGCTGATTTAGATCAAATGAACACAGTATCTTACTTAGCCAAAAAAAACCCAATAAATGTGTCACTTAGATCTTTCTTTCTATTTTTTTTTTCTTTTTTTTTTGGTGGATTTTCTTTATATAAAGGAAGTGGCGTTAACTGGTGAGGAAGAAGCAATAAAAGCAAATCTAATGGATAATGAGGCACTGCCTCCAGAAGTCCTTGATAACATTGTTCTTGACTGGTGGAGGAAAGAGCCATTCCGGTAACTGTAATGAGATTCTCTCTTTCTTTAATTAATCTTAGGAAGTATATCATTCATTGTGTCCACAATTACAAATAGCTATTGCAGAAATTATTTCAGTGCTTTTGTACTTCTTATGAATCATGACCTACCTCTCAGTTTGGCTTTGCTGCTCTATTTTGATTGATATTTTGACAGTAATAGAATGTTTCATGCGCTCTACACAGGACTCGACAAAATTACTTTGTGCACTCAAATTGGATTAAATCTCCTGAATAGCCAAGTAGTTTTTGTGGGCTTACAGGATAGATATGCAAACAAACATTTTATGTTTTCATGTAATTAATAAACATGGAGAGCTGGAATCCAGCTGTAACTATTCGTTTCCATATATTGTAAATATTGTGTGGAAAGCAAAGACAAAGTATCAATGGTCTCCAAAATAACACAGAATCAGGTTATCTTGTGCATTCATCACAATCTGTACTCCAGTGATCCACAACAGACCTCCTTTAATATCAGAAAGTACATCCATAACACTGTAATAGATGTGGATTATTGTTGCATAAGTAAATAAGATCATTGACTCCTAGAAAGCAGACTGGTTTTTTTAGGATGTAATTTCAGCAGGGAAAACCCCTTTTTCCATGTCCTATCTTTTCCATCCATTTCCATCCAGATCATAGCTGCTGGCAGCTTGACCATTAAGTTTCAATTCCTAACAGTATGAGAAATGCCTTAAAAAGAATAAACAAGATCCTCAAATAAACTCTTGTCCTGTCAGCCCACAGACAGGAGACAACATTATCTTAATGGTGTAAAAATAGGGAGATCAGGTTTAGGAAAAAAGAGTGCGCCAAGACAAAAAATTACCCAGCATTACACGTAATGTTGTGATATTATATTACGTGAATTCAGTTTCATCAAGGACTGTATAGCAGAGAAGAACCTTCACCATGATATATATCATGGTTGATATCCCCCCCCTCCCCTTTTTCCCACAGTATCCAGGACCACCTGTTCGTCCATCCACTCCCACTCGTTGTAGCTTCTTTGGTCTTCTGCATTTTACAATGTGTCCTATTAAGGTCTAAAGTTATAAAGATAAATATTAACTTCTGTTATTAATACAAAGTTCAGCAATACAGAACTACTCATCTAATTTGAGATTGTAAGAGCTCCAACAAGCCATAGAGCTTTCCAGACATATCTGACCTGTTTTTAATATCTGCAAGAAAGGAGATGTAGGTCGTGCTGAGTGGCAAAATTCTCATCCTATACTAGAGAAGAAATTGTCAGGCATTTCTGAAAAATAAATTTTTAGGCAACAAGCTTTCTGTGGCATGTGTTACCAAAATAATGTTTGGCGCACCTTCTATTTTTTTGAGAGCAGTGCCTAAGAAGTACTGGTTTTAGAGTCACACAAGCAATACTGAGGACACAATTTATTTTGGCTTTTTAAAGTTCTTTTAAATAATTAATCGCTGCATGCTAAAATCTCAGAAGAAATACATTTGTTAGTACACCAATTAAAAAACATAGTGAAGTATCAGTTTTACATTGTCAAAGGATAATACCTGAAAGTACTTTTTTGCATTTACTCTTAACATATACCTTTAATAAGGGAGTTTAAATTTTCCCTTTTTTTCCAAATTAATTGCATTTTCACTGTGTTGCACTTTAAACTAAATTGTGTAATGATAAATATGTTATTTTCCAATTAGGTCTACAGGATTTATACTGGATGGTTTCCCTCGTACTTTAGATGAAGCCCAGTACTTGTCAGAAAGAGGACTCTGTCCTGATGTTGCAGTTTATATTCAAGTAGAACAAAGTGATGTTCTTGACCGTCTTTTTCCTCCATGTCTGAAAAAATGGAAAGAAAGACAGTATAAAAAAATGGAAAATAAAAAGAAACTGAAAGATATGAAAGCCAAAATAAGGGTAAGTTTTCAGTCCTGTCTCCTTTTCTGTAATTTCAGCAGCACAGGTCTGAACACAGATTCTAAAACTCCCAAAGCAGTGAAGGGCACGCAGAGAAATGGATATGGGAGCTAGGAGACACAGCCCCACACATCCACGGCATTCCTAGATTTACCATAGGAACCAAAAAGAATTTAGGGCTTCTTTCCTCCTCTGTGCCATTAATTCACACAGGAGTTGAGATATCTTGCAGCCCAAGAAGCGTAGCTGTGCTGCCAGACAACTGGCAGTCTGACAGAATGCCAGACATCTGGGAAGTCCTGGACAAAAGGCAACTAGATGGAGAAAGTGAATATGGCCATAAAAAATCAAATACACAGCTCACACGCCATACTGTTGTTGCATCCCAGATTCCCTGAATGTGTGCTGTTGAGTCGATCTGCATCTCCCCTAGGCTGACTTCACAGGTACTGTATGGCTTATGTGCCTGTGTTTCCAACTAAGATACTCTGCACAGAAATGTAATAGCACTAAGCCACATTCTCAGTGCTGTTGCAGCTGCACAGTTGCCCGTTAGAACAAAGTGTGCCTACTACTGAACAGGTTACAAGTCACTTGAAGTAACCTGAAACCTCCATGCAGACATTTACAATCAGCACATGCATTGTATTCAAGGTTCCTAACTTTCTATAAAAGTGAGATAAAGTACTTCATGTGTACTACCAGGAAAGGTCTGAGCTTAAGTTACTACAGAGCAGCTGACAGACAGGAAGTTAGTACAATGGAATTTGAGACAAGGCTTATACAATGCCATTAAGTTTTCAGAACTGCTTGTGCCAGAGGTTGGCTCCGAGAATGCATATAATCTAGGACAGTTAAAATATTTTTTCAACTTAGTCTTTCCTGATGCAAGTTGGAAATCTTGCTGGAAAAGGTGCATTCTAGTGACCAGGCTACATTGCTGTACTAAGCTCACCCTGTAAGCAGTTACTCTGATAATTCAAGTGGCAAATACCTGTGCTACAAATCCTAGGGTCCAAACTTCTAATGAACAGTGTAGGCATCAATATAGCTCCTGATGACAAAGGAAAATAACAGGTTCCTATTTAAAACACACAAACAAAACAGTGATACAAATTGATAAAGGCATTAAAAAGTAAGGAAAGATCAGAATCAGGATTTACTGAGTAACAGTAATGTGATATTTTTGCTCATGTATAGTTTTTAGTTACACATTGAGTATTTTTCCATAGCATTCAGTTGGTGAGCAAGTCAGATGGTGCTGTGAGATTGCTGAGTGTACTGTTAACCCTCCTTTTGTTACTGAAGCTGGAGGACATACACAGGGTCTGGGAAAAGCAGACAGACCAGTTGAATGCTACCCTAGAGTTTCCTTCTCCACTGAAAGAAGCTGGCAATAGGAAACTGAGAGCAATGAGTACACCTGCAGTGCTGTGTTGTTCAGGAACACCGGAGTTTAGTCTCAAGAGCAGAGAAAATTAGTCTGTGCAGAGTTTCTTGCTGCTCTGCTTAGAATGCTCTGGTACCCAGGCCACTTCGCTTGGGGTTAACACTGATTTCTAAAATTGCAGTGTTGCCTGCATGTTGACATACTCAGTTTCTCTGATCTCAGTTCAGGTGACAGCATTACAGTGTGCAAGAACAGCAATTACAGGTTGAATTCCCATCAACCCCACTGGCATGAAGTAGAATGCTTCTGCATATTACTTCTGAGCTAGGATTTAGCCACCAGGTATTTGACATGTATCTACTGAGTATGTATGGGGGACTATATTTCAAATGCTTACAACTTGGTCAAAATTGGGCAGTTCTAAACAGGCATAGGGAACAGCACACATTTAATACTATGCTCAGTCACCCATTTGCCAAATGGCAGAAACCACCTATAAGTTTAGAAACTCTGTAGTTTACCAATAAAAATATTATATTATTTTTAGTGTCATAAGAATCACAGTCTTTATTTCCACCCAAATCTCAATCTCAGAAGTTGCCAAATTAGTTTTACTAAAATTTACTTATATGTTCACCTAGTAGGGAGGTATATCTGGTCGCAAAATTTCAAGCTGCACAGATAGTATTTTTTAACATTAGAAGCAACTGGAAACAGAGTTTTAAGGTGGAAGGAACAACATTAATTCTAGGTCACATTACCAATTCTCAGAGGACAGCTTTTATTAGCAAATATCATTGTCTTACATCTTTTTTTCACTAACAGGATGAGAGGATTGCTAGAAGAAGGGAAGAACTTTTAGCAGAACAAACCCAAAAGAAACAGGAGGTAAGAAAACAAGGCAATTGCAGTCATATCTTAGAAATTTCTAGAGCTTTTAGTCACAGAGTTTTCAGGGCAATGTAGTATAGTAAAAAGGTGATAGACTGTCAGAAACTTATTTCAAAAATAATTTGACATGATGTTTCAATGGGTTTAGACACTATTGACTCATGAACACTAAAAACAATTTAAAAAGAATTCTCAATATGTGCTCCAATTCAGCAAAATACTTATGAATGTGTTTAATGTATCTAATATGTAAGCATAAGAGTAGCCCCACTAATTGCAATTAGGTATGTGTTTTAAATACCCTGCCAAATCCATGGTTAATCCAGAATAGGACTGTGCCAGGATTTCTGCCCAAACTCAATTACATAGTATATTTATAAATGCATTAATGTACTTCTTGACTGCTCATGAAATTCTGTCATCTACACTTTCAGCTAACATGCTTGTTTATAACTTTATATAAGTCCTGCCAAACTACAATACCATGTATGAAAAAAATACTCCTGTGAATTGTAGCACTTCAGTTTTTTAAGCACTCTTGGAACTGGTACAATGCTTCACTGTATGCACTATTCAATACCTCTGTATTTTCTTCTGAAATATGATTGTAGAACTTACGAGATTTTTGCTTACAATAAAGGATTCCCCAAAATGAGGTTTTGTTGAATTAATGGTTCTTCTATTTAAAAAAGAGACAAGAATACCGTATGTTCCTTCAACACTTCTGTATCATAGATATGAAACAACAAAATATTTTACATTTATAGGCTTTAGCAAATATGGCACATTATGAAGCCACTGAGGAGGTAGATAAGAAGGAAAATGAAGATGTTGAAGCTATACTTGAAGAAGAGTTTTTAGAAAAAGAAGAAGAAGAAGAGGCTGAAGAACAGGAGATTGATGCTGTTGACCGCATACAAAATGAAATTGCAGAAAAGTTTGATTCAGAAATAGACCACTTACAAGGTGTACAGGTACCTAATCCACTGCTTATTTTGTTAAATTATATGATCACATGATGCAAGAAGAGTTTTCAGTTTTGTTTGTCAAGTTTAAAAGTTACAGTGCTTAAACAATCATGCTGCTGTACTCACAATCTAAATATGGGAGCAAGATGAAGGCTGTAGTGAGAAGGTATATACTTTAAAAAGTATGTAAGACTCATATTGTCGGGGAAAAAAACAAAGAAAAGTTTTAGGTAGACCTACCCAGTCTTGGGGTCCTTCTTTCCTTTTTGATAGGTCAGTTGATGCAGGCAACCAAACTAGGGAGTCATAAATATATGAACAGTATTTCCAAATTTTTAAGGCAAAATTCTTATTAGACAACTCTAATTTTTTTATACAGTTCTTAGTAATGCAATTTTCTTTAAATCAGCACAGTCACCTATGGTGAGGTAACCTCATCTAACTTTAGATATCTGTAACGTTAATGCCCACATCTAAGGCAGTAAGTAGATAGGTGCCTTTTGTTTACTATATACTAGGTATCTTACTTCAGGAGGAAACTAATCATGGTTTAGAAGAAACTCCATCCACTGACCAGAGAGAAAGTTTACAGAATTAGATAGCCAAGACACAGATGTAAGATTTGCAGAATGAATCCAATCTTTACCAACAGTATAAGTGTGACTGAATCAAGGTTCACTTAATTTTAATAGTTAATGGATTAAATGTCAGATGAATCAAGAATAAACTCCGAAAATTCTTTGCACTACAAGGAAGCATAAGCTGTGTGGAAAAGATTAATGTTTTGTGCTCAGAGATTCACCTTTCCATTAATTTTCGAAGAAGGTGAATTGAAAGTACCTTCAACTGTCAAAAGTGAGTGTAAAATGTCATAATTTTATTAAACTATTCAATGCATATAATCATGTATCCCAATTATAATTTTAGGAGTTTTGAATGAAGCTTGTGGCTAGTTTCACTTTTCTGGGTATAAACTGAATTTGTAAAATAGAGTTGGAAAGAATTTAGGATAAGGCCCATGAGAGACAATAAATAAGAAATCCCAGTAACAGCCTTAGCTCTTTACGTGAACAATACAATGTTTGAAGGTAAAGGTAGCAGAATACTATAGTTCTTGGAGCATTTTCCTCTCTGTCATTTGGGAGCATGTCGTTTGTTGCATTGGTAAACTGATGAAAAATTTGATCAGAAGAGGAACAGGCAATTAAGAGCAAATTTTGTTTCTCTCAAGAAGTGCATAAATCTAGCGATAAGAGAGGTGACTAGTGTTTCAGAATTCATTATTATATTGAGTTCTGCTTATGGCAGTAAGTGGAAAGATCCAAGACTCTGGATCTATATAGATATTATATGTAAGTTGAAGAATTACATGGAAGTAGTATCATATAATAGAATAACATATTGGGACTAGATACTACTAATATGCCCTAGTTACATCTTAGTCAATGTTTTTCCCATTATTTTTTTAATTCCAAGAACATTTATGCCTTCATAAATAACTTTAAATAACTTAGTATTTCTGATTCATTATTCAAGACTCTTCTTTATTGTTCTCTGATTCTTTCATTGTTGGCACTCTGACGTTGTGGAATCTTGGTCTTTATGGAAAACATGATGACATTAAAACACATTAGCACTTGTACAAGTATTAGGTTGCTAGAAAAAAACTCTGTAGAAAATGGATTGGGTTTATATTTTAGTTGAAGAAGCTGAGGAATAGTAAGTCACCAGAGAGCAGCAATATTTTTAGAGAGTAACTAAATAAGCCATCCTAAATTGTCTGGAGTAGAAAAAAATTTGATTTTTTTTGTTTAAATAAAGCATACTTCTCAAGCTTTAGCTTTATCATAGTAGATCCCTCAAAGTTAACCGTCAGATTGTCCTTTTTTTGGTTTTTTTGTGGTTTTCTTTTTTTAATAGTGTGATACTTAATATATGCTGCATTATTTAAACTTCAATATACAGGAAGACCAAGTCTCATCTCAAATCAAATTTTGCTGATTTACAGTGACTGAGAACATGCTCAAGAAATCCTTGACAGTTCACAGCAAATCTTGCTGTAAGTCATTATTAAAAATCTGATCGTGTTTATGATTCTAATATTTCAGTATGTTTTCATTATCCAGGAAGAACTTGAAAAATTGTTAATACCACAAATCAAGATCAATGGAGGACGGAAGCCTCACATCGTATGCTACCAAATATATAGCAAGCTGAATTCTCTAATGGAAAATCGTGGAAGCATTTTTGAGAAATGTTACCCAATAAGTTTGTCACTTGCACATAAGATGCTATTTTTCTCATATAAATTTCCAAGTTCTTTTGGTCAGTGGGATCCAATCAAGGTAATGTTCTTAAATAGCTGAAGAATATCTTCAAGAATCAATACTTTTTAAAAATGTATTTCACATAAAAAAAATATTATCAGACAGTAGCAACTACTACCAGAAATATTTAATGAAAACTACATTACTGAATCAAAACTTTGCCACTGAATATACACGAAATACAGCATGCATTGATAATAAAAGGTTTGTCTTTTCAGTGTTGCAGCTAAATTAAGGCTAAGAGGCATTTAGTAAAATCTGTTACATCAGCATGTAATTAGTGACACAATTAAAGGTGGCACTGAATCAGAAGGAAATGCCTAATTCTTAATGATACACAAAACACAGGACAACACAGAAGGTCTTAAAGCCTTCCAGAAGCAGTGAAAACAAACTGAAAGGATTTGGGGTTTGAATTTGTAAGAAGCCACACAGGTGGCCACCGACCCTACCAGTGGCAAGAAAGTAAACCAACAATTGTTAAATGTATGTAATTCATCAGCAATAATTCTTTGTTGTCAAAATTTACAAATTTTGAAGAGCAACAAATCTAATTCCATAATATTTTACTAGAGATCTGGAAAGTCAAGGTCAGAAAGTACTCATGTCTATCCCCAAAAGTGGGCTGATACAGTTTTATAGGTAGCAAGTGAAATGTTAGCTGGTAAATTTTTGGGTTTAGTGCTAGAAATAAAAGCAGGTTGGATTGTGAGTAAATCAGAAATAAAAAGAAGGATTGATTAAAAAAAACCCAGTGAACAAGATACAGAAAACAGGAAGTTCCTTAAAGAAACATACTTTGGCCTTCATTTTACTATGCTAATTAATCAAGTAACTTTTATTCCCTTTTGTATAGTCATCATGTTGGGTCTTCACCTGTTCCAGATCATGTTTATCTTTCTTTAACCTTGGCAACCAGAATTGTGTACAGATCAGTTCTTATTACGGCTTTATATACTTACTTCAAATGTTTTAGGATCAGAATTGCCTTTTCCATGGCTGCATCAAATTGGCATCTAATAATCTAGGGACATATTAACAGAAGCAGATATTTCTTCTCTTCTATCATTTCGAATTACTGAACTCCAGCTTATATGTTTAATTCTTATTAGTCCCTACAGGCTAGAACTTGTACTTTGTTCCACTGGATTTCACTACATTTTTGTCATTCCATTTCTCCAATTCATTCATTTGTGCTGTATAGTGTTTTTATACCAGCCAAAAAGGACAATTCAGTTAGAAGAAAGAAGTCATGGAAAGCTATTAGATAAAATCAGAGTGGTGTGCTGACAGTGAAAATGTAGTGCTGACAATAATGAAAGGGAAATAGGATCATTTTGAGGGTATTTTAGGATATAATAGAAATGATGAAATTGATTATGGACCAGAGGGTTTTTTGTAGAAAGGCAGATAGAGTATATTCCAATTACTTTTAGATTAAATTGGGGGGAGAAGGAAGTAGTTATGCAACTCATTAGATAAGCAGAGAATAAAAAAGATGAGCTGAGGGAAGAATGGGAGCAGATACAGAGTAGAACAGACTCCTGACATCTTATAAATTGAGGGCAAGCACCCTGAAATGATGTGATGCAGGAATAGGAACCTAAGAATCAGAGAAGGGTCTGGCAAGGTAATGCCATGCTGAAGAACAGTCCCATCTCTTACTGTAACAACCAGATCAATTTATCTATATATTTACTCACTCCTTCAAAGAACACTAATAGATTTGTGAGGTATGATTTCCCTCTACAAGAAGCCGAGTTGACTCTTCCCCATCATTTCATATGTATGCCCATAACTACTGTTTTTTTCCTTAATATATTTCAATTTGCTTAATACAGGGCCAGATTTACTGGACTATCTTTGCCAGGATCCATCCTGGAGGCCTTTTCAAAAAATGGTCACTTTCTCCACCTTCCTTTTTTGTGGAAGGCAGGCCAACATAAGCAATAGGTTACACGTTATTAACGATTTCACTTCTGAGTCCCTTTAGAACTGTAAGATGTATGCCATCTGGTCTGGGCAATTTTTTCTACAGATGTCAACAGTTGTTCTAAGACATCTTTTACTGACATATTAAGGCAGTTCCTCCAAAGGCGATTCCTCCAAGAAGGGCTGCAACAGGGACATGGATAAGTTCTTCCATAGTGAGCAGTGGTGCGAGGAATTCATTTAGCATTTCTGCAATGACCATTTCTGCCATTAGTGCTCTTCTTACATCTCAATGATCCATCAACACTACAGACTTTCTAGTGGGCTGTCTGATGTGTTTGAGAAGATTTCATAAGCAATGTATGTATTTTACCAAAAGTTTTTTGGCTTGCCTTGTTGTGGTTTTACACTTTATCATAATGTAAGTATTATTTTCTGTTTCCTTCATTTGTACGTGACTTCTGCTGAATACAATATTCTCAGTGTATCTTCTACTGTTAGGCAGATAAGTGGTTTTAATTCACAAAGGAATAAAATTATTTTCTTTATTCTTTGAAAATTAAAGTATTATGTTATACCTCTCTGACTACTCTCTCTTGATGGACAGAAAGTGTTACAGTACCACCTACTGGAAATAGTGAATATATTCTTTCTGTCTTCAATGCTTACTTCATCTTTTTGTACAACTATTGCATATGTAGGGAAGGTCCTCAGACTCGGACAAAATATTATGTCCATATGTATGAATTTCACAATGCTTTGACAGATTGTTTCATACAGTTAGTACTCTTCTACCTGCCTATAAAGCCACTTCTGTAGGACGGAGAGGAGGCTTTGTCAAACCTAATCAACTGCTTCCCATTTTGTATATGCTACAGCTAAGTGAAGGAGATGTAATCAAGCCACAACAAAGCCAAGAAAACAGAGTCTTTCCTGTAATCCATCGACAATATATTTATTTCTTTTCAAGTAAAGAAAATAAAGAAACATTTATGAAAAATCCCATTAAATATATTCGTCAGCCAAAACCTAAACCAGCTGTGCCAGTTAAGATTGCAATCGTGGGACCTCCAAAATCTGGAAAGACTACAGGTAGGAGCCAGTATTATCTATAAGGCAAAACCTTATCTAATGACTGAAGCTGTATCTGTCATTACTGCTATTAAAACATCATAAGCCATTAATATTGTTGGTCTTCCTGCTTGTCTTGCTGGGCATAGATTCTTTTAGTTACATTCTCTAGCATCTCATTTGACAGTCAGATACTTAAGCATTGTCCACCTGAATTTTATCCCAGCTTCTTAAGAAGTCAGTGGCCAGGACTGGCACTTAGAAAATCTGGACTTAACACTATTTATACCCCTTGTATTATTTCTGATTATTTTCTAATTGTTTCTTATTTCTTTCAGTCAATATGATTTAATGTAAAATGAAGAAATATTCCTAGGATCAAGGACCAGAACCCAAAACTCCACATTCCCCAGTCTGTTTCCAAACTTCTAGATTAAAAAAAACCCAAGATTTCCTTTCTCTCCTCTCCTTCTCCTCCATGACTTTTTCAATCCACAGGTCTCTGCCTTTAACTGGAGGAGGAGAAAATTCAGCTTACACCATAGCTTAATGATTAGAATAGGGTGTTGAAAAAGAAGAGATGCATTCAAATTATCTCATATTAAGGAGGAAATTTTAACCATATTTCCCATTTCCTGGATAAATGATCTAACTGCTAGGCTGTTCTGTAAAAGGGGCCCCAGTGGAAGCGTATTTTCTAAGATATTGTGTGATAATATTGACTATTGCTGCTACGGTTCATGCTGAATTTAATGCTGTTAGTGCATTGAGAATGCTCTGCACCTATGCAAAGGTCTGGGCCCTTTAGGAGCCTAAGCAGGGTTAGATACCCACTTACCAAGATGATGCACTGGAAATGACCCAGGGAATGAGCTGAGCAGTTAGCTTCTAAGACTAAAGACATACTTTAACAGGCTGCTAGGTTGTGATGTTGCTTACCTAAAAGTTGCATGTTGAAATAAAAATGTTTTGCAGTTGCCAAGAAATTTGCAAGTCTATATGGGTTACTGCACCTGAGTATGGGAAATGCCATACGGCTAGTATTAAACAATCAGCCAGAGAGCGAGTTGGCACTTATGTTAAAGAGGCATCTTCACAAAGGACTGACTGTACCTGATGAACTGGCCATCCAAGCTCTAGATGTGGCTCTGATGAATCACGTGTGTAATACCACTGGGTAAGAGTCTTGTTTGGGTTTGGGGGTTTTTTTCAAGACATGGCAGTCCCTTCATAAGCAGTGATTCCCATCTTATCACCGTAAAACAAGTTCACTAAAACACATCAGTGGTATATGTATTAAGAAAATAATCTGTACAAAATTAGGTTCTTCGCATTACTCTGGGAAACCAGACTGAAGCATCATTTTCTGCAATTTTCAAGTAAGTATATTCCAGTAAATCCAAATAATATGCTTTATGAAAGTTACCTTTTTTCAGTCAATAAGCCAGTATTTTCTATTATCCTTTGAGAACTACCATTTTATGTCTTTTATACCAACTCCAGTACCAACTCGGACACATCTGATTCTCTTTGGTCATGCAGACTGGTTCAGTATTCAAGGTTTTTTTCTGGTTTTGTTAACAACTGAAGTTATTAAAGAGGAACTGAAACCAGCGAGTCTTTCCACCTCATTCATATGTGATCCTGATTTCCTAGGCTCTTTCTCCACCACTGAAACACTTTCCAAACTGGGCAGACTTTAAAAAAAAAGCTTCATGATTGTGATTTCATGACATTCAACTCCTCAAAAAGGAGAATTGTTACAGGAAAAGGCAATTATGGAATAATCTCTGAAAATTATTTGAGCTTGAGATCAGAATTCTTTCAATTTTTCTTCCATGTTAAATACTGGAATATTGCTTCAGTACATTTTGCCCCCATATTGCCTAGTATGTGAAAAGCATTTCTTCTTCAATACAATTAAAAAAACCTCTTCAAATACTGTAAATCATTTTACTTTTCACTTTGAAAACTACTCCCAATCCATACGGGGATTTCCCATAGTTAAAATTATGTTTCTGAATGACTTATGTGTCAGAATTTTAAAGTCCACTGATTTTATAAGTCAGAGCCATCCACTTACATTCCTATACCTTTTGCCCTTTGTGTATTTACTTTACTTTTTACTATTTCTTATTCTACCTACTTGATTTTTTTTTTTTAATTTGATTGTAAATTCTTAGGAGTGAAGACTGTGTCTTATCAAGTCAGGGCAGCAATAACTTCATGGTATGGGTGTAGATTTTTGTCTACTGAGAATGTACTAGGAATAAACATAGTCTTAATGGTTAATTAGAAACTGACTTCTTAGGAAAACTGTCTTTCTGTTTCTGTTTGTATGCAGAGTTGTAATTGATGGATATCCTGTAACAAGAAAACAAGTAAACCTCTTGGAATCAGCTAGGATAATTCCAGTGAAAATCTTTGAATTAGAAATGGATGCAAAAGAAATGTTCAGAAGAGCACTGTTGGATAAGGAAAGCACAAATAGGTAGTGATGCTCCCTGATAGCAATATTTTTATCCACACGATGATGTAATTTCTCTATGTATGTGCCTCAGTGCTATACCCAGAGAGGCTGTATGTAAGCTAGTGCATAACGCAGCTGTCTCCAAACTCCACATGTGAAAAGACATGGGCACGGGTCCCTCTACATTCTAATGCTTTGATTTTCATAGACCAAAAATGGAGACATAAAGAATTTGTAGCATGTTCTGGACAAATCCCCTGATTGCATGACTGAGGTCACAGATGTGCAATGCTGTGCTCCCATTGCTTAGTTAAATTGGTTTTAATGAAACTGTACATCAGATATGTCACTAGTTCACTCTGCTGATGAAGTTTATTATTCATCAGTTCAATTATTATCGTCATAAGGGAAATTGATACTTCATCTAATAAGCTCTTTTTGAAGTATTAATTGGAGTTCTTTTTAAAAGATGGAAATAATGTATATTTCAATAACATACACAATTCATGAGTTACTTATCTAAACCTTTCAATTCAGCTTGCTCCCTTCCTCTTTGTTTTTCTAAGGAGATAAATATTCTGTTTAGAGAGCTGATTCTTGTTTTTGAGGAAGAGCAGTAAGTAGTTTATAAACAGACAGAGAATTAAAAAGAACAGAACATTCACCTTCAAATTAAATTGTCTAAGAACCTGGTTCTCATGAGAGGAAGTGTTTCTAAGAAGTTCCAGACAGCTTAGAACATTATTGCCTGTCTCTCTCATTTTGTCTCTTTCCTTTTATCAAGTAATCAATACAATGCTTAATTGTTTACTGAAAGCCTAAAGACAATTTGCATTGCAAAAAATTAAATTAATGCTGTCTTTTTGAAAGTATTTACTTTAAACTTTTCATTTTAAATACCAAACTAATTACATTTCATATGCTTAAATACAAATCAAATGCGCAATATCAGCTATTTCTGAAAGGTACAACTTACAAAGAAATTAATCCTATTAAAACAGAAGTTTATCCTTTTTTTTGGCATCATTTAAATTAAGAACCAGAACAGGAAATGCTTCTATGTTCTAGTCAATATATCTCTTCTGGTCTTACATAATATTTTTAGAGGTCAGATGGATTGTTTTCATTTATGTATATGTAAATATGACAGACAGTTTTCAAAATACATCCAAGGATTATGGGTACTTCTTGATTTCAAACAACGGCATAATTAAAAATTAAGCCTATTTTTCCGTAAACAATTGACTTCCATTTTAAAAGTCTCATAGCATTTTGTCTAGGGTACCATTTAATGGTGTATTGGTAGTGTGTGTCAGTTAATATGTGCTGATACATTCCAAGTCCTTTACAAAATTATTGTTGCATTTGAGACATGAATAGCAAAAGTTGTTGGTTTTTTTTTCTGAACATAACTGTCTGATCAGAAGTATGCCGCTTTCCGTGCGTAACTGGTAATATTCTTAATAAGAAAGCTGTATTTCCCAAATATGTTCTACAGTGTCAAATAAGCACAATTTTGTAAAAAGGACTTAAAATGCACTCCAGAATTTAAACTTGAAATTCAATGAAATGATCTAATCTTCAGACTTAAATCAGTATTATTTTTCATTGTCTTCAGAGCTCCCTACCCTGAACATGACAGCTCACAGATTCTAGCTATTAAAAATTCCTGCTATAAACAGCACATTGATGCAATTAGGACCTACTATAAGAAGGAGCATCAGAACTGGTGTGTGATTGATGCCTTTCAGAGCAAGTGGTGGATCTGGAACAAAGTACTGCAGGAAGTTCAAGGGGTTGTTAAAGAAATCCAGATATACTTGGAAAGAACAAGAGAAGGTAAAAGAAAAATGAAGTGTCTCAGAGTAATATTTGTTTCTTTAAGAAGCTGCAATGTAATGACTGCATTTCAACTTCAGCTTGCTTTGGACAAAGCTAATTCTTGGGCACATACATACCCTCAAATTCTTCAATCACATCTGCAGAGATCTTGAAGAGATCTCTTGAAGAAAGCAAAGACAAAACCAACTACAGGACAGTCTGAGGTCATCCTCCAAAGAACAGGGTAGCAGAATACAGCTGAAAGAAGTCAAAGGTCTCATGGTCCATGGTAGATTCCTCAACATCAGGCAGATTCCTCAACTAAGGGCACCCCAAAGTATACAAGGAGAACTATGACTTGCAGCTTCACTTAAGTGTCAGTGGAGGAAGATGGAAGAAGGGGGAAAATGTTAATTATAAGTTCAGAACTTTGGTTAAATATGCCATCTGAGCTGATTATTGTGCTGTGGGAGGAAAACTGCTTTAGTCTAAAATGACACAGTTCCCACTTGAATTTTTGTATGTCAGCACTGGTCAGGATTAAATATGCCTTTTAAACATCCTTGTACAGTTTAACTAGAATTCCTATGAAGGGCAGACAGACTTCCTTATCTTATATCCACCTTTTGATTTTAACTTTTACAGCTCTGTGGCTGCATCCTTCTTAAAAATTGCAGTCATAAGCCAAAAAAAAAATTAAAATACATTTAGCTTTTTCACATCAAGCTTGAAAAGCACATTTTTTAAATAGTTTGGGTTTTATATGACATTTTATTCAAGATCCTGAATATATTTAATCCAGACAGACTGTAGCATTTGCAAGACATGGACGAATAAACAGGAGGCTTTCATCATACCTTATACTCTTTTTCACCAATGTAAAGAAATAAAATAATAGCTGAAATGTTCCTTAGCAACATAAAGGAGTAAAACGATAAATCATAAATAAAACTCTCCCAGGGAAAACAGACTGGTAAGTTACGCATGCTGAGTATCCCACATCATTAATATAATTGGTAAAATAGGTTGCAACTTCATTTTAGTATCGGTAAAAATTGCTCTTTTAATTCTCATTATTTTGTATCATTTTCACATGATGAATTAGAACATCTTCTAAACTGTAACATTTCTGAACAAAAATGTTTGATGTTTCTATGCCTCTCATTAATAAAACATTATCATTAATTGCTTTTATTAACAGGAAAAGCAGCCAGCATTGCTGATTTATGTATTACTCCTGAAGAGCTGCAGTATCGGCTGGGGGAGTTTGGACAGTACTGTCCTGTCACCCTTGCAGAAAAAGGTGAATTGGTTGACTGCTCTGTAACGTTGTCACTGCAGTTTGCTGCAGAATTTCGAGGACACTATTACAAAATGGCTTCACAGGAAGAGCTGGACGTAAGTGTCAAAAAGCAGATCAGCAGGGGATTACGGGAAGAGGGAACATTGTTGCTTAGGTTCTTTTGATTCCATACAGAAACAAGCAATGTGTAATCTGAATTAGACTACTGTTATTATTCAAGCTTTTGTTCTGTATACTTCTGCTATCAAATGTCTAGGCAGACAAAATGCAGCAGAGTCCATTCAAACCAAAGGTCTTCTTACAAATTGTCATAAATCAGTCATTCACTTTAAAACAACCATTTCCTCCTTTCTCCATCTGTTTTGGGGAGACTGGGGGTAGAGGGTATAGCAATGGATAGTGATGGATGGTGGGTGGATAGTGATGACTTCAGCTGCGAGTGGGTTGGAAAAGAAATTACCTACCTGAGAGCAGCTTCAGTGCCGGCACACTAAGACACTAAGAGAGGCATTGCAGAAGAAACAAGTATCTAAATTGTGTGAGCCAGTCCTCTGGAGTTTGACTAACAGGCTTATGGTGTTTCTTTCATTATAAAAACATTAAATTTGTTTTTCTACAGAAATTCTTGAGCAGACCAGAGGTATATGTGCCACCACTGGCATCTCACCCTCTCCCACCCCCAGATCTGCTACCAAGGAAACTGACTGCAGCAGAAGTGAAGGTCTTATTCCCTAGAAGTGCTGAAATGCAGGGATACTGCCCAGTCACTTACCTAGATGGAAAACAGAGGTACATCACTGCAGTTTTCATAATCTGAATTACAGACTATGTGTCCTATAGTAACATATTAATGAGGAAATACTTTCAAAGTACTTTTTAATACTGTTCAGGGTTTGAACAGGAAAAGCAATTACAATTCTATATATTGTGCCTGCGGCTTTGGAAATCAATGTAAAATCACCTTTTGAAACTCACATGGCTACAGATTCTACAAGGATCAATGCTGGCTTACTGTCTTTTGTGATGAACTTTGAGTTTTCCCTATCATCCTATCTCTCTAATTTGGAGAGAAATGGTTTTGACAGATGGACCACTCGGTGGATAAGCAATTGGCTGGATGGTCACACTCAAAGAGTTGTGGTCAATGGCTCTATGTCCAAGCAGAGACTGGTGATGAGTGGCATTCCTCACGGGTCAGTATTGGCATCAGCGCTGTTTAACATCTTTGCTGGCGACACAGACAGTGGCACTGAGTGCCCCCTCAGCACATTTGCTGATGACACCAAGCTGTGTGGTGCGGTCAACACACTGGAGGGAAGGGATGCCATCCAGAGGGACCTGGACAGGCTGGAGAGGTGGGCCTGTGTGAACCTCATGAGGGTCAACAAGGCCAAGTGCAAGGTCCTACACCCGGGTCAGGGCAATCCCAAGCACAAATACAGGCTGGGCAGAGAATGGATGGAGAGCAGCCCTGAGGAGAAGGACTTAAGGATGCTGGTTGACGAGAACCTCAACGTGACCCGGCAATGTGCACTCACAGCCCAGAAAGCCAACCGTGTCCTGGGCTGCATCAAAAGCAGCATGACCAGCAGGTCGAGGGTGGTCCCCCTCTACTCCGCTCTGGTGAGACCCCCCTGCAGTACTGCCTTCAGCTGAGGGGTACCCAGCACAAGAAGGACATGGACCTGTTGGAGTGAGTCCAGAGGAGGCCATGAAGATGATCTGAGGGCTGGAGCACCTCTCCTACAGGGACAGACTGAGAGAGACGGGGTTGTTCAGCCTGGAGAAGAGAAGGCTGCAGGCAGACCTTAGAGCAGCCTTCCAGTACCTAAAAGGGCCTACAAGAAAGCTGGGAGGGACTTTTTACAAGGGCATGGAGTGATAGGACAAGAGGCAATGGCTTTGAACTGGAAGAGGGAAGATTTAGATGAGATATAAGGAAGAAATTCTTCCCGGTGAGGGTGGTGAGGCAGTGGCACAGGTTGCCCAGAGAAGCTGTGGATGCCCCATCCCTGGAAGTGTTCAAGGCCAGGTTGGATGGGGCTTTGAGCAACCTGGTCTGGTAGAAGGCATCCCTGCCCATGGCAAGGGTGTTGGAACTAGATGATCTTTAAGGTCCCTTGTAACCAGACCATTCTATGATTCTATGATCATAAGCCTTCTAAAGTTCAAACAAATCGCACAAAACCTTAGTAGATGCAAAACTATTACGATTTTTATGAGATCCATAAAGATCCACCATAAAGTCCCACCGATTTCCTCAGCATGCAGGAATTTCTTACCAAGGTAGATCGTAATAGTCAATTCTATGCTGTTGCTTCTTAATCTCCTGAAAAACTATGATTGGCATTTTAACTAGAGGAGCTCTAAAGAAGCACTATAAAAGCTCCTTAATAAGCAGATCTCGAAGCAGAGATTCTCTCAGTTTTTGAGCCTTGTAACTGTCAGTCATGTGGTGGAAACTTGGATGATCCATTTGCTACTTTTTTGTAGTTCCTATACTTGATAAATTATCAGAAGGCTCCCAGTAGCTCATGAATTTACACCGCACAAATGATGTTTTACATTTCTCATCAATTAATAGTCTTTCTTGCTCTTTCTCTTCAGATATGAAGCTTTGGTGCCTGGCAACATTGAGTATGCAGCAAAATATCAAGATAAGGTATATATTTTTGAAAGTGAAGAAAAACTACTGAAGTTTATGAGGTGAATATACTAACTGCATTTTAATCTTTAATCATGTCATGGTTTATACATCTTAAAAGTGCTTGCTTTTTATCTGGTTAGGTTACCAGAGAAATACTGGAATCTGAAGCTTCCACATAAACTCCCTCCAGTAAAGAAGCCAATACTACTCACTGCACTTCCTTTGGCTGGATACCTTGAACAGGTCAGTTACTGCTTTTCTATTTTAAAACATAATTTTGCAATGTATAGTATATCCCACCCATTTTATTTCATTTTTAATGCACTAAGGGTCATATGTTTATGAATGGGATTATATTAAATTGAAAATTGTGTACTCACAATTGGGAGGAATTTTTTTAAAGCTTTAAAATAATAGGTATTTGTAGCTTTAATGGAAAAAATACAAGACCATCAGAGGGGAGTAATAAGCTGCAATATTATATGACGGATTTTCTCTTTTGTTTATCATATCTTGTAAGATTACATTTTGGTTTGATTTTTAACAGCATGATAGACACAAGCCTATATGGAATCATTTAAGGAGAGTTGGTTACATTTTGAGACAGGAATATTAAAGGAAAAATGATTCATGGTCACTTCCCTCCCTATTTTATACTATTTGTTATCTTCTACAATTCCCCAACTTAGATATCATCCTATATTGTTAAATTTGCATATTTTTGTTCCAGATTTCTGTAATGGTCTTCTAACACTGTTTTCTTTCTTTAGGGAGTAGCAACTTCTCTAATAAAAGCTCTGAATGAAGTAGGCTGCTTAAAGCCAAAGTTTCCATTCCTAAGTGTAAAAAAAACTGCTCTGCTGTTTGTCGCCTGCCATTTAAAAGGTAACATACAAAATAACATGCTATAAAAATAATGAATTATATAAATGCAGTAAATCATCTGATACAACATTGATAACCAAATTGTGTAGTTTTCTTATGTCCAACTTGGGAAAATACTATTATATACTGATTTAAGTATACACTGCCAAGTTTCTTGGAAATGTGTAAGGACCATGGAGGAAAATAAGGTTAACAGGATAAGCAGACAGGTAAGTGATCTCTCACAAATCATGAGACTTTAGTGACATTTTATCACCAACAAGAAGATGGCCTTGAAAACATTTCTAACATGCATTGTTGGAGTTTTTAAACAGAAAGTAAAATATTATAATCTAGGTGGTACTACATTTTAAACTAGTCATAGACAACCTGAATTGTCTTAAAAATTGACTAAAATTACTGTAATAGAAGGCTGCTTAAACACTATCTGAGGAATAGTTTAGGTGCCTGAATGCTTGCCTTTTTTCTACTGTATCAGTTAGTCAATTAAAACTTCTTAACAAACCTTGCCGTGCAGATAACCTGAAGATAACTTTCATCTCCAACAACACATCAGCTAAATACTTAAATAAGAGGTCCAATTGTATTGAAAAACAGCTTAAGTGCATATAGAACACCTGTCATTTTCAAAAAAAGCCCTTCTTTTGCATGGGCTTAGTACCGATACACTAAGTTACACAGTACAAAAGAATAGATATCCATGCAGATTTAATTAGATTTTTAAGTTTTTAGCACAGAGAAATTAAATGTTATTTATCAGTCTGCTTATTTGTGAAATTATCTGGGAAGATCTGAATATTAATGTGATTTGGAATACTGATATGTTGATTATTTTTAATTTCTTTTTTAATTTAATTGACAGTCCAGTTGACCACCTTACTTTTCCATAACAAAGATAAACAGTCCAAAATTAAAATTATGTGGCTTGTACTCAGCTTGCAAAATAATGATAAAGTAAAACATTTCATGGAGCTCCCAGACGTCAGGACTATTCCTTCACTGAGGAAAGTTGCCCCAGCTTTGTCTCCTGTGTTCATATTTGCTATTTTGTAAAAGTTTTGTTTGTTTCTTTGTTTGTTTGTTTGCAGTCCAAGACAGCAGTTGCAGCTAATAATCTTTAAAAGTTTGCAATCAGCCTAAATAGTGCCAGCTTTCAGGATTTCAACAGCTTGTTTTTCAGCTCTGCTGTAGCTTTGGTTTGGTTTCCAGTACTGCTGGAGATTTCTGGAGCAAGACTGCCACTTCTTCAACCCACCAGTTTTGCCTTTTATAAGTCAACCTGTTCAGTGGATGAACTTTACCTTGCCTTTTGTTATTTTAGATTTTCACTTGTTCTTTTAGATGACAATCTTTATTTATTTGTCTAAAGTTCTTCATATCCTATGCTTATCATGCAGTTTCCAAAGCCCTCTAGAACGTTCTTGGACTATTGCAAATTTTTGCCAGCATAGCTGTGTTAAGGAAGACCACTGAACAGTGTAGGCACATGACAAGCCCCTGTATAAATGTACAGTTCTTAAGCCAGCAAAACTACTTTTATACCGTAGTTTGTTTCATCCACAAAGGCTGTTTTCATTCTATTGTTAGCACAGCTTTGCTAACATAACAATGTCCATGCTAGGAATGCTTTGCTCATATATTGCATCATTAAATCATTATTAGCACTGGATGATGAACTGGAAAGGTTACGCAAGTGCACAAATCCCTTCTCCTCATGCAGTGACAAAGAGTTTAACCATAGGAACCCAGGAAAACAAGTTCTCTTCTTCTAATACTGGGTAGAACTCCTTCCAACTTTAAGATACAGCATTCCAGTACACTGAAAAATCCCCTTTCCAAATAGAGCATTATCTATATTGCGTGTCTCTTCAGAGTAGTCACACCATCCTTGATCAAAAACTCAATCAAAGTGCTTCGTGTTGTGGTCCCATGGAAATTTTTTACATCCTATTTCTATCTGAAGTAAGACTTTTTCAACTTATGTCACTCTCTAATCTCACATTTAAATATGGGACAAGAAACAGTGGTTTAGTTGCTCCTACAGCTTTTCTAACAACAATATCGGATTGTTTTCAGTATCCAAGAAGAGAAGGTACAGGCGATCAATCATAAACACAGAGATTTACTCCTGGAAAAAAAAAAGAGTAGGAAACCATACATCACTGGAGTGATTTAGCACCCTTCAAATTCATCTCCTGTAAAAGCTCTATGTACAGCTATGCTTGAAAAACCACTCAAAAGCTGTTAAATGCAGTTGTCTACAATTTAAAGCTAGTGGGCTGAACCGTCTCATAGCATAGTTCTTCATGCTGTCCAGTTTTTGTAATGAGATATAAAGTGCCATCCATAGGAAAAAAATGGTTATGATTTGGCTGTCTTATAAATAAATTTCTTCCCCTTTGCCTCAGTGCAACAATTAAAACAATAAAGAATACTCTGAGGATTGGCACTCAATACTAACGTACACCAAAATATAGCCTAGGGCAGAGAGGTAATAAAGAAAAGAAACAGTACTATCTTCATTGTAAAGTTATTGGCCTTGACATTTCCCTCCTCCTCTGAACTATCAGTCAGCTCTTCATTTTTTAGGGGCAAAGCATTTAGGTCATAGAACAGTTGGGCCAAGGACACAGCGGCCCAGTGCCAGCCACGCCACACCAGGGCTATACCCACGCAGCGCCATTTCAGGGTATGTGCCGCGTTATCCATAGTTGTCATTGCCTGGAGCATCACCTGCCCCTCACGGCCTGAGGAATGGGAAGCTGACAGCAGCTCAGAGTATGTTTGTTGTTTCTTTGTTTACAAAAGCCTTGATCTTTCTGAGTACCATAATCCTTTTGGAGTTAGAAACTCCTAAAATACCAGACTTGATTTGTTGGTTTGGCATCAACAGGCACAGCTCACAGCAGTTTTATCTGTACCAGATACGCGTAAACTTGATCGCTTTTTAAAATTTCTGTGATGCAATTCCACAAAGTTTAGAGGGAACACTAAGACACCGCTTAACTTCTTGCAGCACACAACCCCAGGAGCTCAGAGCCGGCGCGGCAGAGGTACCAGAGGGAGCTGGGGCGGTTCAAGGAGCACTGCCAGCTCATCCCCTACCTGGGGGCTGCTATGGCAGGCCCGTACAGGGAGCCGCGGCACAGGCCCCTTGGCTTTGACGGCAGGCTGCAGACTTTTCTTTCCCTCAAAGACGCCTGCCCCGGTCTTGTGCAGCGTGGGCTGCGTGTTTTTCCCCCCTCACGTACTTCCTTGGATTAACGCAAGGCGCACCAACATCCCCTGCCTCCGCTGCCGGAACGCGGCCGGTAAACAACGTCACGCTTTCTAGGACCAGTTTCTTAACCACGAAACCTTAAAATTAAAATCTCTTGTCTAAAGTCACGCCTCGTTTAACAGTTATTACAGCAACCCACGCGTGGGGCACCGGGAC